AGCATACACTTACCAGCTGACCAGCAGTTCCACTCCTGGGTGGTAACCCAGCACACAGGTAGATGGATGTCTATCCAAAGTCTTGTAAGTTTGTAAGTTTTATTTACAATGTCCAAAATCTGGAAACCACTTACCTGGGCATTGGTGGTGAATGTATAATCAAATGTTGGAGTGTCTGTGCAGTGGAATACCACTCAGCAGTGAAAAGATACTGAACGCAGTGAAAAGATGAAGCTTCTGAGCCCCACTGGTGCACAGGCTTAACCAAGAGGTTAAGTCTCAGCCCTGTTAGCACTAAGGCTTGAACTTGATCCCAGCCAGGAGGCGACCCCCAGGGCGCAGCAGACCTCATTTGTCCCGCCTGCTGCTCCCTCAGCAGTGTGTGTCAGCGATCTGCTGCTCTGCTCCCCATTATCTCTGGTGAGTCCTCTCACCCCTCTTCCCCCCCCCCACACTTTGACCTACACCCTAGTTCTTCTACACAAAAAGTTTAAAAAAGATGAATCTCCAAAGTATCTTGCTAACTGAAAGAAGCTAGACACAGACCACTCCTGGAGTCAATAAATACATGATTCTGTTCATGAGATTTTTATTAAAGGCTCCCCTCTGCCCCCCCATAGGGTGTAAAGGACTGCAGCTAGCACAAGGCAATTTTGGGGAATACTGATTACTAAAACTCATTTGATTTTACTTAACAGTTTACTTAAACAGTTAAAAGCGGTGAATTTTAGTCTCAGTAAATTATATCCAGATAAAATGGCCATTTAAATTCCCATAATTATTTTTATACCATCAACAATTAGAAAATGATAGCTTACATAAATGTATCACTTATAATAGCATAAAGATGCTTAAATGCCTGGAGATTAATTCCTAAAGAAAATAGTATAAAGGCCTGTATAAGGGAAAATTAAAAGACATTAAAAAACATTGTAATCTATTGACAGATTTCTTGTTTATGGGTTAAAGATTCAATATGGTGACTAGATCAGTTCAAACTGAACAATAGCTGAATGGGTTCAATCTAATCCCATAAAAATGTCTAGCTTGTTTTTGGCATGAGTCAAGAACAACCAAGACAGATTTGTTCTACTGTAGCACAAGATTTATCATGAAAATACAGTAATCACAGCACTGTGCGAATGGCCCAGGACTCCTCATAGGTGAATAGGCCACACTAGACCATCCCCAGCCCTGGAGGCAATTCTGTGACACAAGTGCCATGGCTGATCAGAAGGGAAATACCTGACTCTTCAGTACATCTGATTGAGTTGCCCCGTGGGAAAAAAAAAAGAAATTGGACTATTTCTCATGAGACCCCACCCAAAAATCTATTTTAGTGCATTGAAAAGAAACCCCATACATTTTTTTAAAGAAAGCCCATAGATTTTTTTTTAAAAAAGGACAGGATATCTCCATGGCCTTGAGAAGGATTTCCTCAATAAGACATAAAAGGCATTAGCTATAAAGGAAAGAATTGATGAATTTAACTACACTAGAATGAAAAACTTCTGTTACTTAAAGCGCATTAAGAAAAAGATGAAAAGAAAACTACAGTGTGGGAAGACAGGACTTGCTGCAACATTTCTTCCTATATTGTTAATACGTTCATGGGAGGTAGGCGAATGTCAGGTAATGAGGGATGGTGGTTCTTACAGCAGCTCCCTCAGCAAGCTAATGTTTTATGTCACTGAGAAGCAGCAACTAAGTTCAGCTTATGTAACATAGCAGAATGTGGCAGGTAGTATGGATGACGTCAGTTTGTTCACTTCATAGTATTTGTCTTAAAATTGTTTGTTGTATGCTTTTGCTCTGTCTTTCAGTTGACTCAACCTTCCTTTTCTGTCAGTCTACCTTGTCATTTCCTTTGTTTTTTAATGATAAAGTAATTTTATTTACTCTAAATTATGATTGCTAGTGATTTTGCTAGGTTTATGAGATCAACCCCCACCCTTTCCCCCCCTTCCCATAATTTCGTTGAGTTTAGCTGCACACTTTTGTAGGAAGTACTGTTTAAGCAAGTATATTTCACATTTTAGCAGAAACATCCCACTTCAACACACATATCTGCCACAGGATCAAAGTGCTTCAATACAAAAACAGTTTTTTTCACATGTTAACTTCTCTGCAGTTGAAACAGATTTTACAGTAGAAAGAATTTTTGTTAATGACTGCCAAGTTTTTTTCTTTTTTAGGATAAAATAACATTGCATTTTAGAAGTCGTTAATTACTTAGATTTGATGAAGTACCAGAATAAAGAACTGCAAATCAGTGTTTAAAAGACCAGAAAACCCAGTGGAGAAGTGGCAGAAGAGAGACCATCACTTCATGCCAGGAGTCTGTGCCTAGTGAATAGTGAAAGAGAATGTGTGATCTTTTTACGTACTTGGGAGTCATGCGTTTTGGGGGGTAGGAGATAAGTCTCCCAAGGCGACTTAACATTCCAGCTACTTTGTAACGCTTGGGAATAGATATGTTGGAATCACACATACCATTTGATATCCATGGATGGAAAGCATCCATGTCGCTCAGCTACTCTGCAGAAAGAAGGCCATCTGGAGGGATTAGAGGAGAGCTACAATACTGCCGTCACTACTGATCCCCACCACCACCAAGTTGTCTCTGCCCTTGGGTCAGTGCTTTTTTAATCGTCTTGTCTATGATTTGATTGGCTCTTCAGTTAGGTTTTATATAGTCATTATATTTTAAATAGAGTTCACTTGGTTAGTATTTCAATTTGCCTGTGCTGCGTTAACAGGCCACCCCAGAGTTTAATGGCTTAATGATTGCAGAATCGCCTGGACTCCACTGGGGTGGGTCCTGAGGTCAGCAGGGTCTGGCTTGATAAGATGGCCTTGCCGGCAGTTTTTCGGCGGTCTTTTTGTCTCAAGCGCTCTCACTGTACAGTCATCTAACCAGGATCCCCATGCGTGGGTTCAGGGCATTCCAAGGGGGGAAGCCCTGAGCTTGCCGTCACAGCCTGCAGTCGCTAGGACGCAAGGTGAGGCAACAGGCTCGTCTCGATGGGCGAAAGCACAAAACACGGTGGCGGTGTTTTTCCATCCATCACCGCTAATTTTAATCATTGAATTTATTTTCTAATGTTAGTTTTTACTTAACTGTGAAGGTAGAGCCTATTGATTTGAGGAATATTACAATGTCGTTTTAGTCAATATATTGACTATAAAAAGCATATGAAGAAATAAAAGGGAGGCAGGTTTGATTTTGTGGCAAAATGTGAACAAATGCACACTAGCAAAAAACATTAAAAAATAAATGGGAAAATCACTGGCTATAGTCTCTTGCTTAGAATTTTGATGTAATCATTATTTCATGATATTGTCATTCATGTTTTATAATCATCTTTCATCCATCCATTAATGGGTTTTCCCCATGTTCTAAAATATGATTCAGTGTAGTGTAACTAAAAAGTAAGAGCGCTGTTTTCCTTGAATTAATTTTAGTAGTATGCTGCCAGGCATTACGCTCATTCCATTTGGGTAAATCTTGGCTTCATGTATTTGATGACCACTGATATCTGCCGCGATTCCCGCACTGTGCCACATGCACGTGGCCTCCATGTTGCCGTATCCTGGTGGAGTCGAGGAAGGTTCTTTGCAGAAACTCTCTAAGGCAGGACCTGCAGGGTGAGCAGGATTTAGCTGAGGTAACAGTGGGGACAGGAGTAGGAAGTCTTGAAGGTGTGTACAAGGAACATTTAGAAAATTGAAAAACATCTATTATGGTGGGAAAAAAATAAGATGAAGCTGGAGAAGTAGAGTCTAGGTTCTACACTAAGGATCATGGGAAACCACTGATGGGTTTAGAGAGTTTTTGTTTGATCCTTATTTTAGAAAATCCACGAGCTGCAGTTTGGGTAAAGGGGCTAGCCAGGTCGTGGAAAGAGTTGACACCGTGAAAACTACAATACAAGGTCATGGATAATGATTATGATTTCGGCGAGAGTGAAGAGAAGAATCAAATCCCAGAGCTGGTGAGGAGGTGGAGCTATATTTGGTGGCTGGATGCGAATTTGTGGCAGGAACCCAAGGACAGACGCTCAGGCGTCTGGCTTGGTGTCCCCGATGAATGGGGGGCTCGTAGGTGGAGAAACACTGCAAATGTCCCTGGCAGGACTTGGTGATGGCTTTCAGCGCTACTCCCAGGCCACACACTCCCTCTCCTTTTTATATAATGTAGTATTTTGAAATGATGTTTCTAGTATCAGTTCATGAAAGTATTGATTCTTGTTGAGGAGAACCAATCAAACATAGCTGTGTTGCCATAACTGAAATCCGTACCTTGCATCTGAAATATTTTGCTTTAATAGAAGTTTAGTGATCTGTTGCTATCGAACATTTCATAAAATGGGTTACTATTTAACTTTTAATGACTTGAAAAGAATGACTAAGAAGCAATCATTGAATGTTTTTCATTAATTTCAAATTTAATGTTCATTAATTTTCCATGTAATGTTTGTCCAAGTTTTTTAAATAGTTCATTTACTTTTTAGCAATGGTTTCTTTTTAAATTGTCCTTTCCGACTCTAGTAAGTAATTTTTCATTTACATACATGCTAGGGAAGAGAAAAATGCAAAAAGGTAGCTCTAAAAGTGCCATCTTTCCTTGGTGGAGAATCTCTCCTTCGGATGTTAAATAATGGTAATTTGGGTTTCACGGAAAAATGGATTCTTGTGTCTTGGAAAGAATGGCTTTTCTTTGATACTAAACTTTAAATTTGATCTCTGTAGTTTTGAATTTGTAGCTATCTGTAGCTTTTATTGAAGTGTATTTTACTCATCTGTCGTATTTATTACCTACTTGCACTTAGTCATGTTAACTTGCCTAAGATTTTCTCGCCCCAGTCTAATTTGCAATAATAAATTCAGTCATTTGCTTCTCCCATGTTCTTTATATACTGAATTTTCTGTACTCTAAGTATTTTGTAAGTATAAAAGCACTTTACAACCTATTTTCTTTGTCTTTGTTTTCTCCTTAGGCACTACAAGGGCCCCCAGGGATGGGGAAGTACCAGGGGTGGACTATAATTTCATTTCTGTTGAACAGTTCAAAGCACTGGAAGAGAGTGGAGCATTACTAGAAAGTGGAACGTATGATGGTATGTCCCCCGATACTGACAGCAGCCCCCAAAACTCCGACCCACTGGATTCTTTCAGAGGAAACATGATCAGTAAAATTCCATATTTTAGAAAAGTTTTTTTCAGCCTTGGGAAGATTTTCTTTTGATTAAAATATTTGCGACCTACAAATTAAGATGGGATTGCACAATAAACAGAGGCATCCAATCATGTCACAAAGTTGATGGCAGACGAGGTACTGACATCATTTGTTGGTCAGTTTGTATATTTTCTAATAATGTGTGTTCATCACATGAACACAATTAGTATTTGATGTTCCTTTGTATTGTGCTCAGGTATTCAAATGCACTTTTAAAAAATCTGTCTTTAAAAAGTCTTGGCTGTGTTGAAGAAAAGAGACTGGGGGTGGGTTTCTTGCAAATGTGTATTGTATCTGGTGCGTATGTATTTACGACCACATCAAGCTCATGTTCTCTCTCACTGAGATTTTCTTTTCATTTATCACTATTTTTAGATGAATGCAGTTGCCATCTGGCATGTGTAATTCGGGGCTTGTTAACGGCCCCAAGCCCTCCACATTGGGAATCCTGCTGCGTCCTAGTGATGGCTTACACGCTGTCTCCAGTTCCCCACCCCGCAGATGAAACTGTAGCAGACATTCCCACGTCTTCTTACAGACTCGTGAGAGCGTCTGTGGGCTAGAGACCAGAGGCCAGATGGCTGCGTGGTGCACAGCCCTACGAGTAGTTTTGACAGCTCGGTGGCCGGTGTTCCCACCAGTGTGAAGGCGAGTGTGGTGCCTGCAGAACACCTGTGCAGTCAGTGCGCCACTTGAATCACCCAGAGTTTTCATTTTTCCAGGGTGATGAGTGTAGATATGGCATCTGTTTTCTCTTCTCTGGTAGAGTTTGATCATCTTTTTAGGTGCTTAGTAGTTTTTTTTTTTTTAACTTCTGTAAATTCATTGTTCGCTTCCATTTTTGAACAGGTGGGATCCCAATCACATTCCAGTTAGTAGACGTTCCTTAGATATTTAGATGTATGTTTAGACATCAGGCCTTTACTGGGTAGAGATGTTTTTAGCTAATTCTACCACTTTGTCCTCTGTTTCTTCATTAACCAGAAACCCTAATGTTCTGTCTCGCAGATTCATCACTGTTTTCCTTGTGATTTTGCTTAAGAAATTGTTTCTACACTTTAGGTCACAAAGATAATCTACATTTTTTCCCCCATTAAATATAAAAACGTGGCAGGTGGCAAAGTGGCATACTCCACGTTATTCGTTAGTGTGCACTCAACGCAGAGGAAATGTTAACTGAAATGACAGTCTTGCACTGTTTCACCACCATCAGCTTGACAACAAATTTCATCCGGTAATTGTGGGAAATGGGAGGCCCTGTCTGCAGCTGGCAGGAGTCTAAGATGAAGAGGCTCTGGTGGCATAGTGGTGAGCACAGCTGCCTTCCAACAGTAAAAATGATGCGACACTCTTAGAAAGCATCTTGACTGAAGTTAGTAAATTGAAAGTTTCAGTTAACTCTGATCCAGCAATTGCCCACCTGCCTATCTAGAGAAACCCCATTTTTGTGCAGATGGACCAGAATAGCCATTATAGCATTTCTGAAACAGTGAGAGAAGGGAAACAACTCTTCACCAATGAATGAGTAGAATGCATTTTCATTCATTAATATGCACTATTGTACAGTAGTTCAGCGAACTAGAACCTGCCTGTATCAACAGGAGTCAGATAAGTAAGTGTATAAGAGGAAAGCTGTGAGAGCTTATGAACAGCCAGCATACTGTTAGAAGAATGCTCTGAAAGGTTATAAAAACACTTGATGAAGACTCCATGCAAACTAGTACTTATATGGTATCTATGCATATACCTGGATCCCGAATATACACCGCATGCAGGAAGTTACACTTCATTCCATTCGGTATTCTGACAACTTCAGGATAACCAGAGAGAGAGAATGGCAGAGAGAGGAAGTTTAGTATATTTGACCTTATGTATATGTGCCTCAGAGATATTATAGGTTCAGTTCCAGATCCCAGCAGTAAAGCAAACAGCACAATAAAGTGGGGCATATTTTTTTGGCTTCCCACTGGATTTAAAAGTTACATTTACACTATAGTGTGGCCTGTTAACTGTGCCATAGTGTATTATGTTTTTAAAAAAGGCATACTTCATTTAAAACATACTTAGTTGCTAGAGAACGCTAGCAATCATCTGAGCCTTCAACAGTTTTTTTTTTTCTTTTGCTGCTAGAGGGCTTATAAAAAACATCATATCTGAAAAGTACAATAGAACAAGGTATGTCTGTGTGTCCTTAAAGAGGAACAACAGGGAAACCTGACAGGAATCTGGCAAAAGTTAGTATCTGGAGGGTGAATAAGTGAATGAGTAAGTAAGCCAGTGAGTATGCTGTTTCTCTCTCCACTGCCTGTACTTTTACATAGCTTTAAGACATTTAATAAATAGTTGATAGTCCTAGTGTCAAAGCGAAAAAGCTCTCAGAAAAGAGGAAATGAAGAAGTAAAAGGCTGGGAAACCTTTCTTGTTGCTAACTATAATCCAAGTCACAAACCTTGTCATTTTTCACCTTATTGTACCTGAGAGTCGTGAATTTTTAACCACCAATTCAAGAAGAATGTATCTCCTCATGAGCAATGCTAGCTTTCTGTTTTAATCTAAGCTCCATTATTCTTTTCAATGTGGAAACTCAAAATTGATTATGAAGCCCTTAAATCTTACTAATGACTGAATAGCAGTCACTCAGTCCTCAAGTTTTCTAGTTTCCTAGAAAAAAGCTGGGTTTCTAACTTAATTTAGAAAAGCGTTATCTAGCACTTAGAGTTAGGTATAGTAGGTGATCATTAGATAATAGTTACTAAAAATACACAGTAAAATGTGTTTCTAGCAAAACTGCCATCCTTAGAAAAAGTCAACTTATGTTTGTGGTGGGACAGCCGGGTTCCTGGTTGGCAAGGCTGTCGGAGGCAACGCAGGGTTAAGTCGAGACCCTCGAGCACCCTGTTCTCCGGACACACCTGTCTGGAGCAGTGCCATGTCCCCTGCCCAGCCAAGTGTGACCTGGCCTTTTCAGCGGCCCCCTGCATCACCCCTGAGCCCGTCACAGAGCCCTTCATCATCTAACTGCGAAGCTTCAGTTCCACCAGCTACAAGGGGTGACGCCCTTTCAACAGCGGACTTGGAAGCAAAGGAGAAGCCAGAGGCAAATGTAGTGAAATTTTTCCATTTGGTGTCAGTTGTTTTGTCTTGAATATTTTAATGACACTTAGCAGTCAGTCGAATTTCCTCGTGCTTTATCTTCATGCTTCCCCACACCCCCCCCCCCCTTAAAGCACACACAGCTCCAGGTAGCTGTGGTATTTGTAGATTTGCCTCAGTGTCAATGTGAACAACTGGTACTTTTTTTTTTTTTACACATCTGGGCTGGATAATCCATTATATACCCCATTAATTAGTTTACTTTATGTGAATGAGCATCTTAATTACCTCCTAAGGAACTAAGGAATTGGATTAAAAGATGTAATTTTTAAAATAAATAAAAGATCGTTTTATCCTCTAACTATACGTGTCTTTCCTTACCAGTAGCTCTGTTAGCACAGTGATCGATACAAAGTACAGCAGGGCCACAAACTAGTAATATAACTCAGTCTTTGGCGCTTTTCCATTGTATTTGACGACCCGTTGGAAACTTGTTGACAAATGGAGAAGCTGTGCCATTGTGTTCATTTTATTCTGGAGCACTTCTTTTCACTGCAAAAAATTGCTGATGTTCTCAAGATTTAACATAATTAAAGTATTTCCTCAATTATGCTTATAATGCCTATTCAGTAAGTTGGCTGATAAAGTAATATGATGCTCAGAAAAACTTAGAAATTACCTTTGCATAAACTGCCTGCATTTCAGCACAGACGGGTTAGTTCATAGCTTATTCGTTGCCCCATATTTCTTTATTTTTCTTAATTTACACAGTAGAACAAAATTATGTGTTTTATCCTTTTTATGCCAGTTACTCTTAACATGAGCACATTTATGCACTTAAATTTATAAATTAGGTCCTAGTTAGACCCCATACAAAGCAAGCTCAGAGTGGGGAGAGGTGGGAGAATGAGACTGTCACTTCCTGGCCTTAGTACAAATAATATTAAAATGCCGCATTTCATATGGTGAAGAGCACTTGAGAGATGAGTTCTTTCTGCCCTTTCTACCTGCTCCTTTCCCAGGAGGTATTGGCAGCCTTTTGGCTGATGGTAGTGACTCAGAAGCTTCAGCACAAGCTAGCAGGGCAGAGCCATACACTCTGAGATACTGTCTCAGGTCAGCATTGATCCTTTCACCTACCATTTTCTCTACTCAGGAAACTTCTATGGCACGCCCAAGCCTCCAGCAGAACCCAGTCCTTTCCAGCCAGATCCGGTCGATCAGGTCCTCTTCGATAATGAGTTTGACCCAGAATCCCAAAGAAAGCGAACTACATCTGTCAGCAAGATGGAAAGAATGGACAGCTCTCTTCCTGAAGAGGAAGAAGATGAGGAAAAGGAGGCCATTAATGGCAGTGGTAACGCAGGTTTGCAAACGGACAACTTCTAGCTGACCTTCCAAGGGACGATCATGACACAGAATTAGAGTTAATTTTTTTTTACAAAGCATATATAAGACAAGGGATGAAATTCAAGTGTTTTGAGAGGTTGTGTGTAGAACAGTCTGTCTCTGATGACCTCCTTATGTAGCTGCAGTGAGTTGCCGCACATGGCAATGTTGATAAATCACCAATAAGCTTTTGTTAGTAATAATACAGTATGCCTTTACCCTGTGGTTTAAAAGAGTTGAGATTCCTTTCTCTTGCTGGAATGTGGGAATCTTGTTGGCCTAAGTCCTGCTTTACAGGATAGAAACAAATAGATGTTTTATAATGTAGCTTTCAATCAAAACAAAAGTCCAGAGGTGTAGAAATATGCCAGTAAAAATTACTTGAAAGGTTGGTTAGCAGTATTTTGAGCTTAAACTCTAGGTCACTCAAAGAAAATTTCCAAACTTGACTCTCAGATTTTTCATTAATTGCAAAACCATCAACACATTTCAGCAGTGCAGTCTTCTCCTTTTGAATCGCCCAGATGATGTGGTGATTGCATCAGAGATTGTTAACACTTCTAAGGGGAGTGCAACAGGACCCCCAGAATCAGTAGAACTGACTTTAGTGGTACTTGGATACTAATTCTATTCAAATACTAGAATACTGGCTTCATAAGCGTTGGAACATTACTGGCTCAATCTTTTCCAAAGGATCAGATAAAACAGAGAGCAAAGTAAAGTTCACTCTGAGGATTTTGGTGTACATGGTTGAAGAAAGTTTGGGAAAGGATCTTAGGAGTTCAAGTTGGCATAATTTAGGTGGAGGTATTCTTAGAGTTTCGTGTGGAGCTTGGCATGTTTGAAGTTGGACTGGAGGATCTGTTCTGCTCTGCAGGCAGAACATGTTTGTAAGAGAGCCAGGCTATAATTTCTAAATGGAGAATTAGCCTCAACCTGGAGCACAAGAGTTCGTCCATAGCAACAGAAGGTAGAGTTGCTGTGTAGATGACTTGGTCGGGATCTGTGGAGCGTCTCTTCTGCTTGCTTCTGTTTCTCAGTACTGCAGGAGGCAAGGCCATGAAATGAGATTAGCAATAAGGAAGAATTCGCAGATTTAAAAGAAAGCGGTGTGATCTAGGAGGAAGTCAGAGCGAAAAGGTTGAAGGGAATAAGATGGGCACACATCACTCACACTCTCTTGAGGTTAGTGATCCTGGATTAAAGGTGAACTAGCTGGTGTTGTCTGTGTTCACCCCCATGTGCCCGTGGTAGAGCAGGTGCAGGCTACGATTTGAACAGGGCTAAGCCAGGCAGGTAAGTAAAAGTAGGTTTGAGGCAGAGGAATCGGGAGCACTCGTTTACAAAGGAGTAATGATAGTGATTGCCGGGGGTAGACAGGGCGATGAGTTGGCTGAGGCGTTGGGGAGAGTGAGATGCAGTGAAAGCAGGAAGTAGCAAGTTTTAGGGCAATGGATTCCAGAACTTGGTTGGACAAAGGATAGTTAGAGTGGAAATACTATAAAGAATGTGTAATGCTAACCAAAGCCTCTTTGAGATCCCAAGGCATTGCCCACCATTTGGAATTGTTTGTTACATTATCTCTTCAGTTCTAGAAGTAAATTTTAAGTGTATGAATTATGAGCTCCTTACACAGTATTGGTATCCTTGACTACATTGTAGACTTCGGGACTATACAAGGATTTTAGTAATAACTTCTGTTATATTAAATCACAGAAATCTACTGAGTGGAATTTTTTTTAAAACTTACTATTACTGTAAAGGCCTGAGTGTGGACTGGGTAGCGTGGTCCAGCAGTTAAGGGCATGGACCACCTCAGTTCAAATCCTGGCTTTGCTGTATATTCACTGTCACCCCTACTAAGCTACTGAGCCTCTCTGCACTGTGACTTTTGCATCTGTACAGGGGAATAGTCATAATCTGGACCCGTGGGCTTGAGCAGTGAGTCCAGGTTAGTAAACCACTTGCCCAGGAGTCTGGCTGGTGAAGGCCTGTAAGTGCTGCTCCAACTGCTGTGGTCAGTCTCAGATTGACCAGCGCCTAAGATCCTGAATTGATTCTTGGGTGGTCTTTGCTTCCTTCCCAGACGAGCTTCAGGAGGGTGACTCGCTAGCAAATGAGAGCAATCTGGCCTGTTTGTCATCTCAACGTGATAGCAGAATGTGGACATAACAGACAAGGAAATTTGTGATAAATATTTTGCATTTAATTAGACACAGAAAGGGCTGTTCAAAGAAAATGGAATTTCAGCTATTTTTCCTGCTGTTTTGTGTTGATAGCAGAAAGCAGAGAGAGGCATTCTGAGTCATCTGACTGGATGAAGACGATCCCGAGTTACAACCAAACCAACAGCGCCATGGACTTTAGGAACTACATGATCAGGGACGAGAATCTGGAGCCGCTGCCTGCAAACTGGGAGATGGCCTACACTGACACCGGGATGGTCTACTTCATCGAGTAAGTGCCGCGCCCCGCCGTGAATCTCAGCGGCTCCCACCTCCGCGCAGGCTGCCTGCCGGGGGCTCCCCTCTTTAAAAGGGGTCTTCATGCCAGTTACAGTTGGTGCTTGATCTTCTGCTTCCTTGAATGATGTTTCAGCTTTCATTTGTCTTAGATAAGCAGTCGTACATTTTACCTGGTTCTAGAAATCAGGAGAATTGGTAACAGGTTGACCACAAATTATGAAAAGGGTTAGAAAGGGTGTTTGCTTAAGAAACTTTTTGGCAGATTATTCAACGTAATGAACATCTCAAGAATTGTTAATTTGGAGAGGGGGCATATTTGTTCACTAGTTTTTTTCAGTGCTAGAATTTGGGTTTATTGTATTAGGCACTGTATGTCTAGAGGAAGAAAACACATTATGCTCAGAATAATTGGTGCAATATAAGTGCACAAAGAAACCAACCTTTTTTTTTTTATGGAAAACCACTGTTAGAAACACATTTATAGGAATATGAAATACCACCTGTATTTCATCAACGTAAAATTTTATATGATTTACATCGGAGAATAAAATTATAAATAATTACTGCAAGTTTCATTTTGATGTATTTTTATATTCTCAGATCACTGTGATTTTTATCTTTAATTTACTCACAGGTAGAATATGAATAAGTAAAGTTACAGGATATAACAAATAACAAAATATTTTGGGCCAGATGCCTGTCAAAGAGCATGTGCCCGGAAATGAGTGAAGACTTGCATGTCTCTCTTCAGTGGGTCCCCAAATCTACATACTTCACATAAAATAAGCATCTTGCTGACCCAGTGGGAGTTACTGTTTAAAAGATAGAGATTTGGATGTGTGGTGTTATTTTTTTTAACATACATAGCAGATTATTGATTCAGTCACACACTTCTTTAGATACTAAGGATAAAGACTATACAAACTAAGTGTAAGGCCTGAAACTATAAAACTCCTGGTTCGGGGGCGGTGGGGGCCCAGGTAGGGGAGAAGGCAGGGGAGAGTGAGGTGCAGCGCTGGGGAGGGGACAGGAGAAAAGCTTCATGACAGTGAATTTGGCAAGGACTTCTTGGCTGTCACAGCAAACACAAAGGCACCAAGAGCAAAAATAGACAAATGGGACTACATCAAACTTAAAAACTTCTTTGCAGGAAAGCAACAGTCCATAGAATAAAAAAGCAAATATTTGGAAGCCATATGAGCCATAGGGGATTAATTCCCAGAATATAGTTGCGGCTAGCGTGCTCTTGCTGGCTGGGGCTGCTGGGCTGGAGCTGCTGAATTATGCTTCTGTGAAAAGAGAATATGAATTCAGATCTGTAGTCTTGGCTGTTGGGTTTTTGGCATAGCCCTGGTGGGCATTTCCTTACCTAGGGAAATACTGGCTAAAATCCTAGGAGATTGCCCCTATCTGTTAATTTAGCTTGCACGAAAATTTTGGAGCATAGAGCTCAAACTGAAGCTTTTCTCAAGTAGCCTTTTTGAATTTGGGTTAGCAAGATATTTCCATGAATATTTTTTCATAACAGTCTGCATGGTTCTAGGCCTCTTTGGAGTGCTGATCCTTTTTCTTTTGCAAAATCAACTTAGCCGGTTTCAGTTTGGGTGAATTCTGACAAAACAGCTAATGCAGTTTCTCGAAACAGCCAACAGTATCAAGCCTGGCAGTGCATGAGAAGGGGCTGTAAGTAGCTCCGGAGTTAGACAAGACGTAGAAGACGCAACGAACTCCCTGAACTGGTCGGCTTCTTGCCTCCGTGGTCACTGTAGACACTCGTGACCTATTTCATGTTAAAGAGGCCACGGAGAGAGCATGTTCACAGTTACCCCTATACTTCTTTGATAACTTTGTTCATTTCTCGTACATTCTCTTCCACACTTTTTCTTTAATGTTTTCATTTCAGATTGTTAAACCATAGTACTGTTTATTCAGTCGCATGATAGTTTTATTCTAACTTTGTTTCCCTGCAAATTGTATGATCAATTCTGATAAAAACTAAGTTTTGTGAACAGAATTTCAGATAACCATCATTTTATTTGCACATGTCAGACATACGTTAACTCTTTAACTCATTTCTCAGGACCCCTGTGAGGGCAGAGGTGCTGTCTGAGGGTTCGTTCAGCTCTGTATTCCCAACCCCCGATACAGTGGCCACACATCACAGGCATTCATGAAATGCAACGTGCTTTTTGAAGGGAAGGAGGAGGTGTTACCGCCAGCAAGCAAACACCGCTTTCAATGCAGGCTTTGTTTTTTCTTTCACCAGCTAGTGCACAGCATGGGTCTATAGGCACACTTTTGGAAATATTTTTAACTGCTTAAATAAATGTCTCTTATTCTGTGTTAGGCATTTTATCCCTTTTTTGAGTCTTCGTTCTCAAATTAGTGCCTCTCACCTTACTTTTCCTTTAGGGTGGTTTGAAATAATAGACTGAGAACAATGGTGTTATGAATCAGAGTCCTACAAACAGCCCATAGGAGATAATTGTTCAGACATTATATACCTTTTAGTCACTTCTAATGTGTGCTTTTGAAATACTTTCTCCTTTATTTGATGGTTTCTAATTGGACTCTTTATTCTATAGCCACAATACCAAGACGACCACCTGGTTGGATCCTCGTCTTTGTAAGAAAGCCAAAGCCCCAGAAGACTGTGAAGATGGAGGTAGAGATTCAAAACCATTTATACACTGACTTATTCCCTTAATCCTTCTTGTTCTTCTTGCTTAGACCATGAATTTTCCAAAGGCCAAACAAGCTGTCATGCACAGTAGGTAGATGTAATCATCAGGGGAATATGGAAATCACATCTGATTTTTTCAAAAACAGATTTATTTATGCATACAAGAGCTGGGGTGCAGGCCAGAGGTGCAAGGGTTGAGAGGATCTACCAGAGACAGAGCGGGGAGCAGAACAGGCAGATCTACTGAAATACACTGCTGAGGGGAGCAGCAGGTGGGTGAGGAGAGGTCAGCCAGGTCGTCTGTGTCACGCCTTGCTTGTCACTCCTTGGCCGGGGATCGAACTTATGCCTCAGTGGCTGCTGATAGCTTCATAGTGCTGAGACTTATCCCCCTTGCTCCCTCAGGGAGGCCCTCTTGCATCTAATTTTGAGTGATTTAGTCTATGCTAGAATGGATATGCCAGTATCTGGGCTAATCCGTAGCCATTTAGAGCTTCATTAGAAATTCGCTGTGTCCAGTGTGCCTCCCTTATAACTCCCACCCCCCATCAGAATTTTCAGTTCTTAGCAGAAAAAGCACTTCTTTAAAAGTTACTAGATAAAAAAAAAGTTATTAGATAATAGTATTTGTTTTTCCTACGTGTTGTAGGTTCTGTGTAATAGTAGTCTTTTCCTGTAAGTGTAAAACTGAATAGAAGTTATTTGCTGTGCCATCTTGAATAAAGGATATACCATAGAAGAATAAATGATGGGTTCAGTTTTGAGAATGGGGTACTTAGAAAATCTGCACAGATGCATCACTCCTCCACCTCCCAACAAAGGACCAGGTGGCTTCAGTGGTGAATTCTGCCAGACACTTAAAAAGTTTTCCCAAAAAAAAATAGATGATGAGGGAATACTTCCAAATCATTTGCCAAGACTGACATTACCTGGACAGAAAAGGACACTGTAAGGAAAGAAATTCATATAACACCAATCCCCGGTGAAGATAGAAACAATAATTGTAAACAAAAGCTTGGGAAAGCAAATTCAGCAACCCACTATGCTCAAGTGAGATCTATCCTTAGGGTGCAAGAATAATTCACCATCATAAATTAATGGTAGAGCACAGCCACAAAGTGAAGGATAAGAATTGTGTTGTTGCAATACAGTCGACAAAATTCAACACTTAGTCATGTTAAAACCTCACAGCCAAATGGATCTAAAGGCACGTGCCTGATCTAGGAGTGGGAGGCAAACGAGAGTCCGCAGCAAGACTCGCCTGTAACTCTGCCTCCGTACAGCCTCCGTCCGTCCATCCAGGAGGTTATTTTATAGTCTGCCTTCCTCTTCATTTCTCTCATCTCACACTTGGATTACTCTTGGCCTTTTCCTTGAGTTCCTCGTCCTCCTCTATTGAATACACCCTCTAGGCCAGTCTGCTACTGACTGGCTTTGATCAGTCTACTGTGTACAAAAGGGAAATGTTAGAAATTATTTTTCACTGTGTTCCTCTGGGGTGTGGATCACAGTTTCTCTGCTACTGATAACCCATGCTGGCAGCATGTTCTTGCCTCCTTGTCAGATGTCCGCACACACCACCCTGCATGTCTCGAGGGAAGAATGGACAGCCGTCCAGGCCACTGTGAAGTGTTGCAGTTTGCTTGTGCCCAGTTAAGTGGGCTCATTGATGATGTCACTTGGTTTTTATTTCATACGAAACTGAAATGTGACTTAAAGAGATTTCTGCCAAGATAATGCTCATTAATGATAATACAAAGAGACAAGCCCAGCCTAATAAGAAAAAGGCACAGCTGATGCGTTCTGTACCTCATAGGAACTTCTTAAAACTATGTGGCACTAAAAGTGATAAATGTTTATTTTTTCTTCATCTCCTTTCGAGATTTTTATTTTGTGTGTGCTTTATTACCTACATATTAGTAGTGTTGCATATGTATTTATGAAGAACTATAAATATCATAAAGGCACATGCTGAAACTTATTACTCCTAAGGCTGCATATTCCAAAATCATGGGCTGTGCTGCCTATTAATCTTTGGAAAATATAACTGCCTCCATAGCTCTCCCTCGCTTGGATCTCTGTTAAGGGTTCCCTGTCAGCAGAGTGAAGTTCTGACTCCTTCATGGAGTGTTGAAGATTTTCTGACAATTGAACATATTTGATATTATTTTTGAAGGTATTTTCATGTTATACACATGATGTGTTCTGTCTTTTTTGCCTTCCCCACATGCCCATTTCTTCAGCCAGGAACCACCCTTGTTTCTGTCTGCCTGGCTCTTACGTACTTAATTCATCTAAGCTCAAAGCTAAAGAAAATGTCTTTCGTCACACTCTTTTTGGTCAGAGTTATTATTCCCTTTTGTACTCAATGTCACTATATGACATTGTCATTCTAGCAATTAGTACTGCCTTATGTGACTATATCAGAGCTATCTATAACTTTCTTATTCACCTGTATGTTCCCCCAGTGGGACTTAAATATTAGGAAGGAGGGAGAGAGACCAGAAGAAAAATGAAGAAAGGGAAAGAAACTACTCCTTCCCCCAGATGGTTTGGTCATACTCCTTGAAAATATGCTTCTTAGTGTCTCTAGATTCTGAGAGGAGACAAACGATACTCTGATCTTCACTCACTAGTAGGGGTCAGTAGAGGAATAAGATGCAAGAAACAGGAGTTTGGAATGCCCACTGTCCAGCTATCTTTCCATGCCAAGTTAACAAAGAGTTCTCCCCACTTCTGATTTTACCCTTCCATGACTGAATCTGACTTCCCACCACCTTTTCAGTGGAACTGCCTTTTTTTTAAGGATACTAATAGCCCAATTGCTAAAGTCACTAGACTTTTTTAGACCTTTTCTTCAGTTCTGACAGCTTTGCAGTCATTAGTGTTGACCATGCATCCATCTTCTTCGACACCCTGACTATTCTTGCATTATCCATCTTCTGGATGATGCTACATTCCACCTTGTCTTCACCATTTATGTAGGTCGTCACTGCACTGCTCCTGCTTTGATACATACTGTCTCCACCATCCTTACCCGCCATCCAGTGTACATGCGCAGGCAGAAGAATGAAGGGCTGGTGGGGATGCACTCCATACTATCAAATGGCTAGTCATCTATTCTGAATGCAGAATCATAGTTTTTATGAGAATATAACAATTTGTATGGCTTGTCAGGTTCATTATCATGGAAATTTTACTTGCTGAGGCAGTACATTGTAACTGCTGCTAAATGATATGAAATTAATAAGTCTTTTGATGGATTCTAGTCCTGTGCTGTCTAGCGTGCCATTTATGTGTGTACATGCGCGTGCCTGTGTTTCAGCGTAGCAGAGAAACACTAAAAGAAATTGAAAGTGAAAGTGGCCATCATGGTGTACAATTGTAGGTTTTAAACAAAATTCCTTCTTGCTGGGATTCTCCATGTAATCAGCAGTGGAGAACGACCTGCATGCCTGCCAACCTAACCCACATGTGACTAATACAGTGATTCTTTAGAAACCATCGTTTGGAAAACAGAGTGGGAGGGAGAAGAGAATTCTTAACAGGGTCAGTTTGTGTTAGCAAGATGAGCATTTTTATTAACTGCCAGGAACACAGCCACCTTCAAATTTCCAGTTATTTTATTGGTCATTTACTTAGAATAAATACATAACAATCCTACACAAAATACTTGTTACCATGCACAAATGTGGATTCCATACAAGACACTGTGGTAGGTAAATACATTTTCCTTCAGGTACTCAGGTCAGCTTAATGAAGGCTAACACAGATATTGTTGTAGGTTTTAAATGTGATCTAGATTACCCCTTCAAAATAGCAAAAATTCAAGACTGCTTTCCTTTGTGGGAAAGGGGATCAAAATGTAATAACAGAAGTAATTGACAAATATTAATGTATAATAGTGAAAATTATAAGAAGTAGCTGCTGCTTGTATTGGACTGAGTTAAGTGGGTCTTACCTCAGCTTTTTCAAGCTTTTGAAATGAAATGTGCCAGGTGTTTTTTTTTTCCCTTTAATTTAGACCTGAAATGGGCTTATTCATGATTTCTGAATCGGCTGACACCCATCTATTCAACAGCTAGTAGAAAGGCCCCACCAGGGTCTCACACTATGGAAGGTTTTTCTAGTCAGAAAGAAGGGGGGGGGGGCAGGTTACTAGAAAATGGGCGGGGGAGGTGATTTCTAGGAAAGCCACCTTCTATTAGAGAAGCTTAAGTGGGGGAGTTTGAAACTACAATAGCAGGTGTTATATCTATCTGGGGACCACAATGCCATTTGAGACCTTTTTTCTTCCCCAAACAAATCCCCTTTTGATCAGAGTCTCAGTTTAACACAGATTGCAGTTGTCAGTCCCCTGCCAGGCCAGTTCTCCTCACAGTATTCAGAGGTCATCTGCATGGTGCTCGAGTCAGATTCACATTCTCTATGTTGGTCCTTCTTTCTCCTTTTCTGAGGTTCCTTCCAGTCTCAGGAAGATGCGTAGCTGAATGGTCAGCGATGGCAAAGAAGCATTGAAAGCGTTCAGGAGAATACAGCATGCCAGGGAGGTTAACTCTGTGCAGGATAATTCCTACTCTTTGAAGTGACTTCAAGCCAGTGTCCCCAAGACCCAAACCAACACAGTTTCTTTAAATGATTTGCATTTTTATGGTCTGTGACTCAGATAAACTTGTTTGCACTCACTATTACCTTTTATTCTAAGTATTTGCTGATATACTCACTGCTCATTCAGGAAACTGCTCTTCTTTGTAAGTGGCCCTCAGTGGTCTGTCAGTCCCCCAAATATTGAGTATAATGAAATAAAAGATACTTAAGTTCAGCCACTGATCAGTTCTTTTCTGTTGGTTTGGAAGCTTACATTTCCCTAAATCACTATTTTCTTTGCAGAACTTCCCTATGGCTGGGAGAAGATAGAGGACCCTCAGTATGGAACTTACTATGTTGAGTAAGTTTGCTACCTCCGTTCTTTTTTCTTCCATACTAAATACAACCCTGGGAGACGTTGATGAGACGTAGAAGCACATTTGCCAGGATTAATAGTTGACTTTCTCTTCACTGCCACTGAAGAGAAGATATTCATAGAAAACTATAAAATGAGGGAACATAATAATTAATGTAAAGGACACTCCAACACTCCAACTGGCCGGTTGAGTGAAGGCAGTGAAGGGAATTTGAGAGCAATATGTTGCGATGACCCAGAGTTTTGAATTATGTAATTAAAAGTATTCTCTCGATTACAATTGAGATAAAAAAAAGTACAAAATGATGTAAAAATAAACTATTATATTTAAAAAATGAGCATACAGGTGGAAAAGGACACATAATGATGTGAAAATAAACTATTTTAAAAAAGTATTCTCTCTAGTCAGGAGTTAATCAAGGAGAACTTGTTACTTTTTTGACATGAGAGTTGCTTCTGACAACATCCGTTGTGGTTCAGTTTAATCGTAAATATATATCTAAGAATCATGCTGGCCTGTGTTAGCTAGAGAAGTTAGGACAACTTCAACATCTAATTTTCCTTTCCCTTGTCCTCACTGATTGTGTGGCAACATTATGATCTCGGATTGCTGTCTTTCCAGATGCTAGACAGGAACTTTTGACCTTAGGCATCTAATTTGAACTGTCAAATAATTGTATCTCAAATATTACTTATTTATGAACCTGGAAATGAGGAGTCTGACTCTATGCTGAGGTAATGAAGTCAAAATATTATTACCTGGAAAAATAGCAACCTGGGATTCTTGTAGCTTTATGATAGCTTATTAATTTTTCATTATTTCTTGGCATAGCCAGTGACACTTCCGGTATTTTCCCTCAAGTAGGTATGTTTGACTTGTGGTTACTCTACTGTCTATTCTAATGCATAGGTTGTAGGTTATTGCTTGAGTCACTGTGGTTAGAGATTTCTGGAATGATTTCTTAAACTCTAATTTGTACCCTAAGAAAATTTACGGCTCCATGAACTTGACCCTTAGGTATATAATCTCACCATGCTGCTGTTTTGGTTGCTAATTTTATTTCGACTGTGTTACTTAATATCTCTCTGATACTTGTTTCTGTGATGCAGAATATACAGCAGCTCTTTTATTGTTTTCTTAAAGCATAATTAGGTAAAATAAAGAAAAGACCACTTTTCAAGTCAAAGGTAGTATTTGAAGGCCAAACGAAAAGATTTTGTGGGATTCTGCCCTCCCCAACCCCCCCGCCCAGCAGTTTAGTCTATTTAAATGGAGCTTCGATCAAGTAGTATTTGCCATTGACACCGAGATAATGATTTTCATTCTCTTATTATCCATTCCAAGTGAATGTGAATACATGGGCAAGAGGTGAATGTCATTTGCCTGTTATAAAATCTCAGGCTAAAGGAGCTGGTTCCCATTAAGCAAAGCTGTACAAGTGTAGAGCGAATCCTGAGTGACCTGTTCCAGTTGTCGTGGAGGTGCGTGACATAGCAACAGCCTCGCAGCGACAGGATTTTGTGAGACTGTTCCCAGAACAAGCTCACCTTACCGGAGGGTTATTTATTAGATTGAGAGAGAGCAAGCTGTAGGCAAGGTGCACATTGGTATGGACTCAGGCGCGCGATGGCGTGTGGCTTGATTCCCAGGTTGCTTAGTCTGGAATCTCCACCACGCTAATCTGCAGCGAGTTTACTGATGGAGATAAAAAGCTGTTGCTTGAATGGCTACTCCTTGGCTCTTTAGTTTGTCAAACCAGATGGCACAGTGATTGCTGTTGGTAGGAGCCTTGCCATAGTAACACCAACCGCAGTGGCAATTTTTCTTTACAAGTATTTATTTTCGAGGATGAGCTTCTGAAACGGATTCATGTATTTTTTTTTTTTAAATAAAATTGTTCTGAAACTCTGACAGTGCCCTTAAGAACCTGTATATATGTACAAATGTGTAACTCTTCCTGTATTCCATTAACAGTTTTGATGCACTTAGGTGAAAGGTCAATGTATGTATTTTAAATTCCTCCTCCCTTCATGAAAGAATGATTTTGTTGAGGTGAATGGTAAAAATCCACATATGATATGCAAAATCTTCATGCAGAAGAGATTCCAAATTAGGTATATTAAGTAATGCTTCTTACTATCCTTGTATAGTTTTTCTGATAATCAGTAATATTGTCTCTTCCTCCCTTCAGCTAGTTACAGAGAAATAGTTTTTCCTAACTCTTAACTAATATTGTGATGTAAGTAACCACATGAAAAGTAGAATGTTCTTTTTTGTTGTGTTTTGGGTTTTTTTAGGTGGCATTTTAATCTAGCTTGTCTAAGGTGACAGATGCAATTACTCCCTTTATGAAAATCTTACATTCTTTTGTCAAACAGTTTTCAGGAAAGGGATTACTCATTTGCATACTTCTCCTCTCTTGTCCCACACATTACAAGGAGCATAAATACAAATTACTACTTTTTATGTTCCAATGCCTGGGTGGTAAAGTGAGTCATTCTAGCTGATGACGTTCAAATGAGCCAAGGTTTATTCTTTTCTAAGTGTCTGTTTCCAGTTGCTTTACTTTTCACAGACTCAGTAAAATGCCATTCCCTAATAAATAATAAAAAAGGGGTATATCCAACAGAGCACTGAAGATTTATTTACACAGTGGTGAAACAGTTAACTCAGTTAGAGGAACCCCCTCATCGTAAGAAGCAGAAACATACTTGAGTCTCAGCAAAGTCACAATCCAAATAATGTCAAGTAGAACTTAGCCACATTTAGAACTCTGAAGCTTAACAACCACATCTGTTGTGGAGCTAATATGCACTAAACCCGAGGACACGGGAAGTCACACACTTGTGTGAGCGTCTGTGTCTGCTGCTGCCTCCTTCACTCCCACCACCAGCAGCGTGCACAAATGGAATAGCAAATGACAATCATAATCCAAAAGTCTCCTGAGCCCATGCTTAATTACTGGTAATCATTAATGTCACCGCTTATAAAATGGATTCTGCTTGCAAATGCCTATCATTTGGCTGAAAGACATTTGTTCTGTGGACGTGCTAGGACATAATTCCCATTGCGCTCTGTTAGATCTATTTGTGGTCTTAAACCTCTTTTGTACAGCAGGTGCGTTCTGCACAGACTAATTGGAATAATCAGTGCTCGGCTCCCCCCAGGAAAGCAGTTTGGCTCATAAAGTACTGACTGCGGCTGGGAAGTGGCCTTCTCTCCTATCTCCCCCCACGCGGCGACTGTCCCCACAGACTTGCATGCTTTTCCAAGAACTGGTTGTGAGTGTTCCCAAAGCATAAATATCCATTAAACTTACGTTGTAATTACGTAATTCATTGAATTATTATATAATTATGACGAGATTTAAGTATGAAAGAATTGTTCTGTGATACAATGAGATAAAAACAAATCACATTTTTCGTTGCTGCAAAACTGATGGGGATGAGTCAGTTGGAAAAATAATAGTAAATTTCTAGGCTTCTGTACTCGTTTTTATTCAAAAATGTCTCTGTAGCTGCTTCATTTTAGAGGAACTTTAAACTCTAATTAAAACTTAACTATCTTAAAAATTAACTCATCGCTTCTGCAGTTTTGAAAACTCATAATGGCTATATCAGTTATATTTAGAAAGAAGCTTTTAGTACATTCTCTGACTTCTAGGCATCTCTTCTGGACCTTTCTTAGTTCCCCAAAAGCTCTTCCACTATGATCTTTCAGTTTCTTTGTGTTCCATGGCTTAGACATACAGGTTTGTCCCTTAAGCCATGGTGATGGATGGCATCATCATCTGTTTAAAAGTTGAAGCTCATTACTGTGAACTGAAATGCGTATTTTTCTACATTTTACAGCCACCTGAACCAGAAAACCCAGTTTGAAAACCCGGTGGAGGAAGCTAAAAGGAAAAAGCAGCTAGGTCAGGCTGATGCTGGGTCTCCAAAGCCAGGTAGAGCCTTTCCCCAGTCTTTTCTTCTAAGAGTGACTTGTGAGGTTTATATGTTGGGTTAATAAAAGTATATTTGAACGTTTTATTGGAAATGCAACAGAGAATGTCTATTTTTTTGTCACTATAAAGATAGGAATAGTCTTAATACAATCTCTGAACATTTTGAAAATAGCAACTACTGAGATTTCTTTCTTATGCTGTTTATATGACTTGTTGGGAGAAGGGGCTGAATAGCTTTGGCACGTGTTTGAGGGTTTGATGCTGAGGTGATTTTCGTACATTTAAGACCTGGCCCAACATCTGTGACTCGTGATGCACGCCTCCCAAATGAGCTGCTTAAGTCTGACATCCGTTGCTCCAACCTTAATAGAAACAGACACCTCATGAGCCTGCCATCCTGTTTGCCTATGTCACTGTTTCAGGTGGTAGAGTATTGGTAGGATCATTTGGGACCACTCAAAAATATAATTTGAGACTTAAAAAATATATAGGATTTGAGGTTTTTATGAGCCTAACATGGGCATCTTGAAAAAGCTGTCCAAGAATTTCCTACAGCCTGCTTATCCTATCCCCCTCCTCCATCTGTCATTAATAGCTAGCAATTGTGGGATTGAATCCTATTGAAGCCTCAAAAAAAAAAAAAGAATGGGGTGTCTGTACTCTCTACTTCTCTTGCCCATGAGAGAAACAGTTACTCTTCAAAAACAGTCTTCTTCCGTAAGTTTTCCATGTGATTTAGGAGGCTCGAATCCCAGCTGGGTAACCTTGGAGGAGGTTAGTGTCACTGCTTCCTTATCTGCTAAGTGGGGGAAATAATAGTACCTACCTCTTATGGCTGTTCTGAATAGAAGTATTAATATGCATAAAATGCTTTCAGTCTTCTCTGGCACCTGGAAACCAGGAAATGAAAGCAGTCATCGTTGTTAATAGAAATGCACACAGTGGTGGCAACAAGGAAAGAGAACTCAGCTGTGCTTTGGTGGAAGAAGGGGGTAAGGGAGCTTTCAAAGTGTCAGATACACTAGCGTGGGGTTTTGGAGAGCTATAAGAGTTAAATCAGGCAGACAGAGATTTTAGAGGAAGAAACTACACCGGGTGGAAGGAAGAGAATGTGTAAAGCCACTGACGTGAAGTGGTGGGCCAAGGACCAGAGGGCAGTTGGGAATGGCGAAAGCACAGTCATTGGAGGACAGAAACGAGAGGAGAGGTTGCAAGAGTAGGCAGCCATGACAAGAAATGAGTTCACAGTTCAATATTTCTGTCACGTGTTGTTGGGAAGTTACAAAAGGTGAAAATTGAAGCGTGTGCATTGAATTTGACAATAAGCATCTATCAGGAGCAAGTTGAAAAGGAAAAAACTTAGCCATGGAATGTGAAGGGAATGAGTGGTAGAGGTGGAGAGAGTGGGTGGAGACAGATGGAACAGTAGTGTTAGTGTAGCGGTGAAAGAAGTTAAATCTGATCGGCAGACACAACGGTCTAGCTACGCTGGACCTTGAAAAATGATCGCTACCATTTACTGATGCAGCGAGTAGGTGCTGAGTTGCGTGCTTCATACACACCATCCCATTTATTCACAAAACATCTCTGCCAGGTTGTTACTTTGACTTTGTCCATTCAGATGCCATCATGGTGTCACATTGCATTCTCTAGCACAGCAGCCCAGTCCAGTACTTGCTGCAGGGCAGATGCATTTGAGCCAGGGAACAGTGTCCATGGGTCTGTGATCGCCTGTGTTTATTGAGCACTTAACATTTGTCAAACAGTATGCATTGCTCAGTTCACTCTCTGAACAATTTCATGAGTTAGGTACCACTGTGCTCATTTTATAGATGGAGCAACTGAGACTTAAGGTTTAATAACATTTTAGCTCACATGACTAGTTGGCTTTGACGGTTGGACTTTACAAAATTAGGTGTTAACCAAACTTTCCTTCCTTTATTAATGTTTGCACGTTTGGGATCTCATCTGCTGTGTGCTGATTTTCTGCTGTAGCTCTTAGAAGCCAGTCTTATTCCAATATTCATGGGGTGTAGAGCATGAACGAGCTAACCAGAAATTGCTAGGTTTGGACATAAAAATGAGAACAGTACATCTCATCCAATATATTGTCCTCAAGTAGCAGGCAGTGACATGGTCATTGAACACATGACCTCACCTGCAATGGGCAGTTGTATCAGCCGGTGTGAATGGACTGTGAACATCACCATTAGCTAGATTTTAAGAGGTAACGTTTTCTTCGGAGACAGGTAGCCATTCTGAATGTCAGACTCATTAAGAGCCGATAATGCAGTGAGAAGTCCCCGGGAACAGCCGGACAGTCTCGCAAAATAACACTGTGGTAACTGAACCGCTATGTAGAGTCCTCTACGCTGGAAAGCCCCAGATAGTTGAGCTTTTTTTTTTAATGGCAAGTGTTTTTACATGTAGGAGATCAGCAAACTGGGAAGGCTGTCAAATAAAGCAGACCTGTGCACTCCCTAGACCCCTCCAGCAACCAGCCTTGTCAACCTCACCCTGCCCCTGACCAGCCATACCAGAAACCTGTGAGCTGCTCTCGTGACAAAAGCAGGGTTTTCAAGGGAGCTAAGCATCTTTTTTCCTTCATCAAGTCTCCACTAAACAAGCATGAAAGGGAAGAAAAGTCTTCACTCAGAGTCCAGGAATCTGCTTCTATCACCAGATAGAAGTTAAAGGCAGCAGAAAGCCTGAGCTGTACGTGATACAGTCTTCTCGTAGATTCGTGAGTGGCTTGTATCTTCCTTGTTCAGTGTTTCTGCCTTGGGCTCAGTCAGTGCTTACTCGAATAAAAGGTACCGTCGAGTAGCCTGTAAGGCTTGTGGGAATTTAGTAGTAAAGGTTGCCCTAACGGTGCATCGATTGGCTTCATTTAATGGACTCAGGTGAGAGAAAGTACAGAAATGGGAGAGGTATGGTAGGTGCCTTTACCTTTTAGCTAACAGGAGCGAATCCTGAAGAGAAACACTGAATCCTATTTTTCTTTTCAGTGCCTTAGTTTGTGAGTTTAAGTTCTAAGCGTTCCTTAATAGGATTTGATTTTCTCTCCTTAATGGTTTGTTAATGTTTGAGATCTATAGGTTCTCTTGATGATTAGCTTTGGGTGCTACGCCCCTTGTAATTTAGTCCTCTAAGCTACTTCTCATTTTTGCACAGATGCAGAAAAATCACACTTTACTCGGGATCCATCCCAGCTTAAAGGCATCCTCGTGCGAGCCTCATTGAAGAAAAGCACGATGGGGTTTGGCTTCACCATCATCGGTGGAGATAGGCCTGATGAGTTCCTGCAGGTGAAAAATGTGTTGAAAGACGGTCCCGCTGCTCAGGATGGGAAGATTGCACCAGGTAACAGGTTTCTCGGAAGCAGTGATGCTGCACCAAGAACTACAGGACAGGGTGTCCCTTTTACTTGCACGCACGTGTCCACGGGTGTGCGCCTGTAGCAGAGGGCGAAGTCCGTTGTACTATCCACGAGGCTGACTGCATAGTTTATCCTCCAAAGGAAGCGCATACTCGTTTTGAGAGAGGGTTATTTTTACAAGTAAGTAGAAACTTAGAGGAAAACATTACACTTACTAATTTTTTATAAGATCGAGCAATACTAGATTTCCCAATTTCTAAATGAAATCTTAAGTCCAGATTTTTAAATACTTGTTATCCAAAAAAAAAAAGAGTTGACAGCTCTTTGGCTATATGAGTATATACTGTGTTTATTTCTCTTGGGTCTTTGGGTTTTGTTTTTTTTTCAGTCTTGCTAATTATTAGTACAATTAAAGTACCATGTTGAGAATTATGGCCATGAGTATTATGATTTTTACAGTTGTATGAATTTGTCTTTTCTGTAGCTTCCCCAAGTATTTGGCAGTTTTAAGAAATTTTATATGGCTGACCATGATCATCATGAAAGAAGTTAGAGGAAATTCAAGACTAGTTACTTACTATGGGGAGATTTAAGCCCTTTTTTTCCCAGCAGGAATTTTGTATTCTGCAAAGGTGGTTTCTTGCACTGCTCACCAGACCGTCCTAATCCTCCGCTATTCCCCATCCCACAGTCCTCTCAATGGCACATGTCAACTTGACTTCAACTGGGATGTGGGTTCTCTTTCCCACTTAGGTGCTAAAACTTGAAGCCAGAAAAGTTAACTCGAAGTAGTAGTCCTCAAAAACATTTGTAACTTGCCGTTATTACTTTGTAAGATTGGCAAAGTGGAGACTGAAACACACCGGAAATGGTTTTCCTTAGTTTTCAATTGTGACATCGCAACACATGCCTGTGAAGCAGCTCTCTCAGCGGCTGCACGTATTGGCAGGACTCACCAACTCCACAGGGCTCCGTCCCAAACAATTGTCATTTAATTTGCCCAGCAACACAATACTTCCAGGATAATTTTGGAAACTTTAAGCAGCAAGGGAGAGGAAATAAAAGTTTGGTTAAATAGTGTAATCTCTATCTTCTTAGATTATGAAATTTCCACAGACTAATTTGTGTTTTTAATACCACTCATTTTGATTTTTTTTTAAGATTTATTTATGCATACAGAACTGGGGTACAGGCCAGAGGTGGGGTGGGTGTGTGAGAGGATTCGCCAGAGAAGAGTGGGGAGCAGAACAGGCAGATTGACAAATACACTGCAGGGGGGTCAGGAGAGGGCTGCTGTGCCATGTGGGTCACCTCCGGGGCAGGCAGGGATCAAACTCATGTTGAAGTGGCTTTCGCTTCTTAGTGCTGTGCTTTAACCCACTGCCACCAGGGAGGACCTCATTCTGATTTTTTAAAGCCTGCATGCAATCAGAATAAATTAAAGCACCTTTATTTGGCAGTAACCTTTAAAATAATCATATGCTGTAAGCATGAATGTGTCAGGTACCAGAGGACAAATTTTAAAACTTAAGGTTATGTTAAAATCTATACCACTGATGAATGTCTAGTGGCAGTGATTCTGCAACTCAAGTGGTCATCATAATGTGAAATCATGAGTGCACAGCCAACACTTCAGAACTTAATTCTGCTGACTTTTCAGTGTTTAAAAAAGTATTTTCTTTGCTTGTGTTGACTTTTGGTTGCTGGTTTCTCCCATTGCAATCTGAGTAACAGTAAATTGAAAATCTCTACAAAGAGAAGGATGTGGAAAGAGAATCTGGTCATAAATGAAGTTTATTATAATTTTCAGTCCTACATTTTTCAAGCAGGAATGACTTTTTGAGTATGTTGTAATCATCCGTTTCTTAAAATCAAGAAATAAGGCAATATTGAAAGATTGCCTTTTGTAAATAACCCTGTGGAGTTACTGCTTCTCTTCTGTGTGCTGAATACTGAGATGTGGCCTTAGCTATGGTGGGGGCAGGGGAGGGGGCGTATGAACAATAATGAGTTTTGGGGGGTCGGGGAGGGGCAAGAATGAAGGGGAGGAAGCACATGGACTGTGATGGACACTGGGGTGTTTGGTGGTGGGTGCACGGCAGTGGCTGTCGCTGGCAGGGGTATCTAAAGATCACATCGAATAAAAAGATCTTAAAAAGGAATTCTCAGGGCCCTTCCTGGGGGCGCAGCAAGTTAAAAGCACAGCACTGTGAAGCTGGCCACAGCCACTTCCGCCATTTCCATCCCCTGCCCTGGAGGTGACCACATGGCGCGGAAGACCTCTCCTGACCCCCCTGCTGCTCCCCTCAGCAGTGGACTTCCATGATCTGCCTGTTTTTCTCCCCACTCTGTCTCTGGTGAATCCTCTCACCACCCCAGCACCTCTGGCCAGTACCGCATGAATAAATAAATAAATCTTCAAAAAAAAGGGAATTTTTCCTTTTTCTAATAATTCACTTGAGCTTACAACTCTGCGCAAAGATAATAAGATTTTACATATCTCCATATTTTAAGAGTGGAGTCACAGAAGGGAGAATGACATGTTTGTGTTCAGACTACCTTTTGTCTGTTTATGAATAGTAAGTTTTCCAGAAATCATGTTTTAATGCTTAATTTAGCTATTTTTTTTCTTGGTTTCTTCCCCACCCCCCAGCAAAAATTAACCCTGTAGGGTGATCTTAATCTTGCCATCATGGCTCTCTTTCACCAGGTGATGTTATTGTAGACATCAATGGCAGCTGTGTCCTTGGTCACACCCATGCAGATGTTGTCCAGATGTTCCAGCTGGTGCCTGTCAGCCAGTATGTGAACCTCACTTTATGCCGAGGTTACCCGCTTCCTGATGACAACGAGGACCCCATTGTGGACATTGTTGCCGCTGCCCCCGTTATCAATGGACAGACACTACCCAAGGGAGAGACTTGCATGAATACTCAGGATTTTAAGTCAGGAACAATGGTTCTAGACCAGAATGGAAAGTCTGGGCACGCACCGGTCAGTGATCGTCTCAATGGGCCAGTGGATCTGAGCGAGCAGAGAGCGTCCATGGCCTCGTCGGGCAGCTCCCAGCCTGAGCTCGTGACCATCCCTCTGATTAAGGGCCCGAAAGGCTTCGGCTTCGCAATCGCCGACAGCCCCACTGGACAGAAGGTGAAGATGATCTTGGACAGTCAGTGGTGTCAAGGCCTACAGAAAGGGGATATAATTAAGGAAATTTATCATCAGAACGTGCAGAATTTAACACATCTCCAGGTGGTGGAGGTGCTCAAGCAGTTTCCAGTAGGTGCAGATGTGCCGTTGCTGATCTTAAGAGGAGGTAAGTGGAGGCCCAGCAGCAGCCTTCTGGGTGTGGGGCTTGTGTTCGTTGTCCTCCTTCCAGGCGGCGATGTGTCACCCCCAGCAGACTTAGCTGGTAATGAGTGTGCACTTTCCTGCAGTCTGGCCATGCCAGGAGGTGGCATCCTTTGCATCCATGTTGGGGGTAGTTATTAGTGGTCTCATTCCTTTTTCTTAGGAATTTCTTTTCTTTATATTCTCTTTAAAATCTGATTTATGTCTCTAATGATTGGAGAGTCCAAGATTGTGCACCTTCAAACAAAATATGTCCTCTAAATTTCATTTTGCCTGTCGACGACAGTAATAGAATTTGGCTCTGTTCGCAAGTGCTACTTCATCTGGAACTCTGTAAAGTTCTAAAGATACTTTGAAAGGGGCCAGCATCTCAGGGAATAAGCAAAATGTTGAATGGTACGTTAATCTACCCTGGAAAAGCAGTCGCGATAGCTTGAACACATAAAGCTTTTCTCAGCTTTAATATCTTTCTGTAAATGTTAATTAAACCCACAGTGCTCATGTGAGAGAAACACACTTTTTATTTTCCAAGGTCATCAGCTGGTATAAACTGCTCCCCAGACATCATAAAGCCAGCGCCAAGGACTAATCACAAAGCGACATTATAATAAGGCTTTCCTAAACCCATACCTATGGCTTTCCATAAATCCATACCTAAGCGAATAAAATTGGGCCCTTCGCTCTTTTGTTTCTCTGACTTGTAGTTTTTATTTTTGAGGCCAGAGAGCAGTTTGTTTTCATTGGGGTGTTTTTCTTTGTTCTCATTTCCTTTAATTATTTGTTTTTTTTCTTTTGGCCACAGTGTAGATGTTGTGTGTGGTGTGAATTTTTGTGTGGGGGGGGGAGTTTTCCCGGGTTTTCGCGCATATAGCCCCGAGTCCAAAATTTGGCATCAGCCAGACTCGATGCCGGTTTCCTGTCTTGCTACCTGTTGGTATGATGGTGGCAGTAATGTCAGTCTGTGGGCCTTTGTTTACCTTATCTGTAAGCTGGAACATCTGTGCGATAGGTCACCATGAAATGAAACGAAACGAGAGCTTAGCTGGCGAATGCCTGGTACATAGGAAAGGTGGGAACGTCCCGGCCTAGTAACAGCTGAAACTAGTTTTGTCATAAGCATCAGGGGGACAGCCGTGATCTGAGAATGCTTCCTCTGGTTTTAAAATCTGACTCTTTTGTTTACTTTTAAGGTCCTCCTTCACCGACGAAAGCTGCGAAGATGGTGAGTATACTGCGGCCCTCAGGTGTTGCTTCCCGACACTCCAGGAGAGGGGGCTTCCCCGCTGGGGGCAGCCCGCCCGCCGTCTGGGTGGGCAGCAGGCGGGAGGCCCCTGCGGGCTGTGCGGTGACTCCAGGAGCGTAAGGGTGGCACAGCCCGAAGGGGAGCCGAGCTCTCGGGGATACCGCTTTCTGCCAGAGCAGGGCCGGACCACATACGGCCCCAGGCCTGTCCTCTGACTAGCACAGTGGAGACCCATGAAATGTCCACTGCGGGGCCCTTTGACTTGTGTCTCGGAGGAGCAAGGGGGAGAAGCAGCCTCGTGTTGGGCCAGGCGACTCACGGCCTCTTGGCGCGGAGCCCAAACACCGGAGTCGGGGGTGTCACATCAGTTCCTGGGTTCTGTGACGCCCACACTTCCATAACCTCCTTGCACTTAGGGTGACACAGGACTTTCCAGGGCAGTGGTGGCCATGCTCAGTTTGCTTGTTGTCAGCGTCTCAGCTGTCAGACTGGCAGCTGCTCTTTGGCATTTTTCTAAAAAGCCGAGTGGCCCATTTCAGGACCTCCCTAGAGAATAAGCCCTGGACAATACTGGGCCAGATAGTGCTGTTGTGGGAGAAACGGGTAGGGGCACACAGGCGGCTCCTTCAGTCCTCACACGTTTGGATAGAAAGAGCGTCATTGTGTTCCAAATCATAATTTAGTTCTAATTTGCTTGATTTGGAGTCTGTCATCGCACCGTTGAAGGAGCCATAAACCAGAGGCTGTGAGAGGAAAAAGCATCCGCTGTAAAAGGGGTTCATTCTCTCTAGCCCAGCAGCCAGGACCCTCTGCAACTTTCCCGCTTTACACATCAAGTGGAAGGAAACATTCCGCACTTGCATAGACTGTGGCACGCGGGCCCCGTGCATCAAAGCTCCCCTGCAGCTCACATGCTGCCGTTTCCTGGCGCTCTGGCTCCCAGAGGTCATTGCGAACTCCTCTGCTATCACCTCTTCCATAACACATGCCAGCGGCCCAGATGCTTCGTCACCCACGGAAGTCTCTGCTGAACCCTCAGTGCTCCCGGCAGACCCTGGGGCAGGTGGGCAGAGGGGAGAGCCCCTGTGCTCCTCGTCCTCCCTGCCATCTGCCGGGGCCGGGCCCCAGCACTGCTCTGGCCCAGCACTTCGGGTGACCGTCCCCTCGCCACTCCCTGGCATTCTGGCCTGCAGTATTCTTCTGCCACAGTCATCTCTGACTCCCTCTTGCCCCTACAACAAATGAGAAGAACAAGTGGTCCCCCAAATGGCGTTTACTTTATTAGGCTATTTATTGGATTTCGTTTTCAAAAATTCATTCAAGAAGTCATTTGCATGACTATTATTTGAGGAAAGTTCTCTCTGGGTAGGAAAAATATTCAAATACGCAGCTCTGCTTCCCCTTATCTGCCCGCCTGGCCTTGCCTTTCTTGTTAATGATTAGAACTGGCCGCACAGCACTTTCTCAGTGTTATCGCTGTAACCTGAATTAGCGTTAACACTTCCTATTCCGTTTTCTTAGCAAGAACACTGTCTTCAACATCTTCCTGGAATTAAATTCACCGAGGGGGTGGAGGGAGTTGCGAACGTCGGTGTGGCGCTCCCTCTGCATCCCGCAGAAGTGCCGCTGCCTTGCAGACCTGTTTCGCTTTGAAAGTCACCGTGTCTTGACGGCAGGGAAAAGGACGGCGCTCGCCTTCCACTCCCAGTCTTAGGAGCATTTCTAACTTAGTTATATGTTTCAGCCAAAAACTGAAAGTGAATTTCTGTACCTGCACCTGCCGTGACTTTGCCCTGACGCCTCTGACCTGTTGGCATACTCGGTTCACACAATAGATTTATAAACTAATCAGCTGTGTGTGTGTGGATGCTAAGTAAGGCATTTTTTTCATTTCAGAAAACAGATAAAAAGGAAAGTTCTGGAAGCTTGGAGGCCGTCAATGAGCCCATTCCCCAGCCTATGCCTTTCCCACCCAGCATTATCCGGTCAGGATCCCCGAAACCGGACCCTTCTGAGGTCTACCTGAAGTCTAAGACTTTATATGAAGATAAACGTAAGTAGCTGCAGGCTACTTCAGGAACACACAGTCCAAGGGAAATTAAAAGCTGGCACCTTCCCGTCTTTCGCAACAATATTGGAAAGTCATCTTTCATTCTCACCTCATTGTGACTTAGGTTCACGATGCATTTGTCCCGCATGTACAAATAAGCCTACCAGCTGCGGGAATGGAAGGAACTAGATAAATTGGGGTCTGAGGAGAGAAATAGTCAGTGCTTCCCAGTGCGGGGGTGGGGGTGGGGGGGGCGAAGTGTGTCAGATAACACAGGAAGTTAAATCTTAATCAAGTCTTCAGAAAGGTGAAGGCTGGCTCTGAGACAGGCCCAGGGGAAGAACAGGAACCGCATGTGCACGTTTGTGGGGTGCCTGGCCTTTGTTCTCAGGGCTGTTGTCTGGGTGCGCAGGGCTCCTGCTGCTCAGGCTACCATGTAGACTCGGGCAGGGGCCTCTCCCCACGGCAAAAGTCTGGTGTGGGGAGCACACTGGGAAGCCAGTATCTGCTGAGAACGGCAGACATTATGGCCAGACCAGCAAAATGGGCTAAAACACCTTGTAAAGGTGAGCAGGAAGCTCGGTGAGAATAGGGGCGAGAGGTAGGATGCTCTGATTAGCGGGAACTGTGGAGCCCCCCCAACAGTCGCCAAGGAAGGTCACTACAGCCTCGCTCACACCAGATGGTGGAGCACCCCCAGTGCACACCCCCCCCGCCCCCACCCACCCAGAGCCTCCACTGCCCGTCGTCCCTGGCCCTGGCTCTAACCGGCAGTGAGACTGCCCGAGGGCTCGCTCGCTGAGCCCCTCCGGACCTCTCACGTGCACTGGCAGCGTGTTTCTTTCATCCCGAGCTGCTCCAGTGCTGCGCTGCTGCCCCGCGAGGCCACACACGCTGTCCTTGATACCTGGGTTCTGCAAGTAGCTCAGTGTGGCTCGGGTAGCTGGCCAGGAAGCCAGAGGGAGATCGGCAGCAAGTTGTGGCGGGTCCTGAGGACATCCTGAAGGGGGCTGGAGTGTCATCCAGATGAGCCACAGGGTGGTTTTAAGTTCAGGGGCAATAGTTTTGGACTTAGGTTTTTGAAGACTTCCCTGGTGGGAGTAGGAAGGGTGAGTCAGCGGATGGGCGGTCGGAGGAAGCGTGTGCACTCTGCACAGGGGCCGGAGTGGCCGCTGCGAAGTGCAGCGGGAGAAGACGAGAGGCGTGCCGAGGCACTCCTCTGGTGCAAACCTGTGTGCTACCGGTAAGTCTGTCCCAGAGCGAAGTTGCAGATTTAGGTAGGAATGATTTCATTTGTTTTCTTGTTTGTTTTTTTAAGAGCATCTGAATCTACCTTGGAAAAGATGTATACAGATGGCAATATTAGGTCTTTGTACTTAACCAGTTGCAAATCTTTATCTTGGTAGTGTTTAGAAAGATGACAGGCGTAAGCACAGCAAAGCAGTAATCTGAGTGCAACTGCGGAGAATCTTTTAAATGTCCCATTCACTGCCTGTACCTTTTCAGATATTGGTATAAATTATTCAAATCTCTGTGTCAAGTGATTCAGACATGAATCTAGCTGAGTCCACGTGCCTTCTTATCTCTAAAGTTCTAGGAGTCTCATAGGACATGTTTATCCAAAGACTTTTGAAGAGAGAAGAAACAAAAAAGTGTAAGAATAGCAGTATGCCTGATGTGTGGGGACCCCCCCCCCATGGCTGAGTAAAACCCCCAGGGCTGCATTTGCCACAGGAAGAGCTGAGCTAAGACAGAGGACTTTGGAGCTGGACAGGTAGGCAGGGCAGGTCTGTTAGCGAGCTTCCCAGGGAAGCCTGGCACACAGACATGCTGATGAGATTCTGCCTCGACCCCTGAAATGAGATAAGGAGAGGAAGCCTTCCTGGCCCACACTCTTAAGGCGCTGACTGTAAATGTCTTTTTCAAGAGCAGCCTATGTCCTTCAGAGCACCCACTCTCCTGTCACCAGCCTTTTGCCAAAACATATCTTGGGGTGACAGATTTGTCAGGAAGTTATACAATCCAGAAGCTGAGTTGTTCAGTTCTTTCATGGACCCAGCCCCTCAGTCCTGAGAGTAGCCGAGTCCAGTTACATAGCCATGTCCTGTTTCTGGAGGCCACCCTGGAGGTGGGTCTCCACGTTGAGTCTCTATTGTGCAAGCAGTAAGAGTCATCTTCTGAAGCAAAGAAGCAAAGGACATTGTTTCTAAAGAACATAGAGTATCTCTCTTTTTTATGTGCCCTTTGTGGGCAGAATAGTGAGGGTTAGGAGCCTGGCCCCTGGGAATCAGTCTGGATTAAAACTTCACTTCTACCTGCCATGTACCTGCTGTGCGACACCCAGTGAATGGCCCTTCAGTCCCCCAGCTAGAGAATGGGCCAGTGATAGGTGCTAGCTGTTTTTATTCTCTTTCAAAATTACATCATTTTGCAAAATTAGGCTCAGCAGTTTACATGGGATACTTTGAGATAAAGGTGCTATCTTAGAAGTAGAAATGAGGTGTTTTATGAGTCCTCTCCCCACGCCTTTCCTAGGATTTAAAGTACCTTACCCATGTATCTACTTAGATAATTTGCATCTGTCAAAATAGTTACACTTATCAAACTTGGATTAGAACATTCTAAACTTAATATCAATTTGAAATTTTTAGAAGTTAATGGCAGGGTAACTGAATTACAAGGCTCGAGATTCCTAAGCAAACTTGATAACAGGTTTTTTCAGCTCTCGAAACAGCGTCTGATGTTGACTATTTTCTAGTGTTAAGCGCTTGTGTAAATTTTCACATACCAAGTTCCCAGGTTATTTTATCAAAATCTAATATGATCTACTCTGATAATAACAACTCAAAGTAAATCATATATCCTCATAAGTAAAATATACTAAATCAACCTTTTTCTGGTTTCCTTAGCACCAAACACCAAAGACTTGGATGTTTTTCTTCGGAAGCAGGAATCCGGGTTTGGCTTCAGGGTTCTGGGAGGAGACGGACCCGACCAATCTGTGAGTGTGAACCCCTTGGGGTTTGATGATTGCCATGCATTCGGGTGGCAGGTTGTGGAATGGGATGTTTGGCTTCCTGTTTGATCTTCTTAAGGCTTTCTCTGGTGCTTCCGCTGATAGGAGGAAGGAGCTGCTTCTCTGTTCCTTTCTTACTCCCTCGCTCAAGTGCAGCTGAGGCTGAACATTACAGGTATAAAGTGAATGTCAGCTATAAATTGGACAGTGATTAATGCATTTACTTATGTATGGCTTAAGGCTTATTTTAATTTTTTATTTGCCTTTGCCTTTGTTCAAGAAATTATAGATTTCATAGAGAAGGAAGATAGCTTACAATCTGAAGTCTTGTTTGCTCTAATCACTAGCTTCTGAATGTTGTGGGCTCAGTATTTTGCATGTCATTTCATCTGTTACTAAGAAACTAGGAGAATGTAGAATGATTAGCATTTCTGTCCAGAAAGCATAAGAGTTATGTTTGCAAAGAATTTAAATCTAGAATTTTATTGAGGCACAATTCTCACGGAAAGTTAATTTAGAGAACAATGTAGTGCTTTTAAGCTTTGCCCTTAGTTTGAATGACAGAGAAATGTGCATTTTAGAATTGAAGAACATTTACGTTTTCTGCCTTCTTCTGTGCAGTACTGTGAAGGACTGCATTGTTATCTCATCTTGGAAGTTAGGTAACAATAATCCTTTAAAATGACGGCTTGCTTTCTGTCTGTTTAGAACAGTTGATTCGCGCTGTCTAAAATGTGTTCTAAATAGTCATATTGGCTTCGGTTATAGCAATAGCCAGAGACAAAGTTGATGGTAAAGCCCCTGCGTAGGGCAGAGGTAAAGAAGGTTGGTTTTGGTGGTAGATGTATTTCGGCTTGCTTATTTCCTAGGTTACTGAATCTATCTTAAATCTACCTGGGGGAACCTTTATTTCATCTAGAGCTGGTTTTAGCCGCTGGAAAGCTAGCCCAAACATTCAGGATTCACTGATGATAGGGTTCTGATTGCTGCCAGGCAGAATGAACTCATTCTGTTCCCCTAGGAGAGCGGACACACAGGCCCCTCAGCTCCCCTTGAATACTTACGGCTTTGCCATGAGGGAGTGGGAAATGTTTCTCTGTTGTGTGCACTGGCCCTGTACTGGGGGCCGCCTGCGGTGGGAGCACGGTGCGGTCCTCCCAGCTGCTGTGAGCCTGCTGTCTAGGACTCCATTTTCCCTGCAGGCCTTCACTAACTCTTTATTTTTGTTTTAACTTTCGTAGCTACTCCAAAGAATTGCTTTTTCTGAGCTGAATGTCTTTGTTTTGTTGTAATGGTGGCGATGGTACTTTAGAAGTTCCAGGGCAACGGTATTTCCGGTCTTCGTTGTCCTCTGTGCTGAGGATGCAGCGGGAGTGCACACTGTGGTCGCTAGTGGAGAATGGCCACTTTCTAAGATTCTAGCCTTCAGGAGTAGGACTTGACATAGTAGAACTTGACAACTTGACAAACACGCATTGGTACTGATCTCAGTAGGCTACATGGACCCATCTGCGCTTTCCTCATCAGATCTACATCGGGGCCATCATCCCCCTGGGCGCAGCCGAGAGGGACGGCCGGCTCCGTGCTGCTGACGAGCTGATGTGCATCGACGGGACCCCTGTGAAAGGGAAGTCACACAAGCAGGTCTTGGACCTCATGACGACGGCTGCTCGAAACGGCCACGTGTTGCTGACCGTCAGAAGGAAGATCTTTTATGGGGGTATGTGAGTCTGGTCCCGCTCCCAGACCCAGAGACAGACAGACTTGGTGCACTTTCTGGTGGTTTTGCAGATTATTTTGTTCGGTCATGTCGAGGGTAAAACATGGTGGAAGGTCATGTAAGGTCACAAGGATGAAGAACTAGTAATAGGACTGTCAAAAAAAGACGTGGGACCTCTGTATTTAGATTGTATAAACATTTTTGACAACCTGATATTATTGATGGGAGTATCAGACTAAGTTTGTCGTTTTAGTAAACATGCACAGTGTTATTTAGTCATATCCTAATAGCTGAACCAAAGATTTGGGATCTTGATGAAATCCCAAATAGTCAAAGATTCTGTTTCACTTCAGCTTGGGTGTAATGTAGTCTAACAGTTATGAGTACTTTCTGCATCCAGACACATGGGTTCTTTTCATCCTTCAACATTATGCTATAAAGGCTCTCATTGTCTAGTTTTACGATTACCCGCAGAAAGGTCGAGGGAGACATGACTGGCTTAATATAGTAGCACTGAGATTAAAGTAGGCAGCTGAGGGTCTAAAGTGCTGTGCTAGGAAATAAATATCGTATCTTTCTCATCAATAACCTTGTAAATACAAATCAGGAATGTTCAGAAGTGAGTCTTGCCTTTAAAATTGAAAAAAGCCCCCCCTGGAGCACCAGAGTGTAAACCTCAAGCAGACGGGCACTTTCCTCCCCTTAGTTACCTTCTGCTCCTGGCACAGAGAAGGCCTTCCTAGTGCAGTGCGAGCACCATTGAGGGCCTGTGGCCTGATGAATACTTATAAGACTCTCAAAAATGAGGCTCTGTGTTTTTTATTGCAGCATCCCATGAAGAGCCTGCCTCTGCAAATACCAGGCAGTTGGCTTTAATGTGCTGCTGCCTCTGTTTTGTTAACAATGACATTAGAACATAACTACATGCGGTAAAATATGTGATACTGTGCGACAAGTGTTGCTCTATTAGAAAGTATCGTGTGGAAGTTTTGCAGTAACTTGATAATATTGGAGACATTTTAGATCATTTTAACCATACATAATCTTCCCCCCAAAAAACCCTTTAGCTTTCATGACTGGATGCTGGTGGCATTTTGAGGTTCTAGAACATAGTCTCCGAATCATGGAGATTTTGAGCCACAAAGACCTTAACTGGGGCCTCCATGGTGTGTTGCGGTCAGCTTATTATCAAAATATGGCACAAAACTTGCCTTTCTTTCTTTCAAAGCCATTTAGGACTAACTTGTGCCATTCTTGTTTTTCCTGATCAACTTTTGTTAAAATTGCTCACCAGGACTCAAGACCTTAATGGAATTAAAACAATTTCAAGCATTTTTTTTTAACTAAAGCATTTTGTGGAAGCTTTGGAAAACTTTGCAAGTGAGCTGACATTGTTTTTTTGCCAATCGTACACTTGCAGAGTGTTAAGAAATCACACAGGCTGCTGCCTCCTTCCTCTGCTCCCCAGTTCTGTTGTCCAGAACTCACGTAGGGGACGAGCTGCTTCTTTCTTCATGTTATGAGAAACTGGACTTTCGTGTGAGGGGCCTGCACAAAAACACTTGCGTTTTCAAAAACTGTTGAAATACCCAAAATTGCTCATGTCTGTTACAGAGAAACAACCTGAGGATGACAGCGCTCCTGGCTTCGTTTCCTCGCAGAACGGCTCTCCCCGAGTGAGCCAAGCCGAGGGCCCAGCAAGGCCTGTGCCCCAGGAACCCTATGATGTTGTCTTACAACGGAAAGAGAACGAGGGCTTTGGCTTTGTCATCCTCACCTCCAAAAGCAAGCCACCGCCAGGAGGTGAGGGCTACTTCCTTGCTCCTCTTGCTCCACCCTGTGTGCTTCTATTTCGGCTTTTCCCGGGGGTTTGTAAAGCCAACTAGGGTCTATATAAATTCTTTAGAGACTGATCTTTTTAAGAATGATGAATATTTTCTTTATTTTCAAGACGGGTAATCTGAATTCAGCCTTCTAAGCTGCAGGTTTATGATTCCAGATTCCATAAAATAAGTTTTCAGTGGTGCATCTTGCATCAAGATTATACTGTGGCCATATAATAGAACTGGTGCAAGAGCAGGGCTGAAATTTTCACGAAACCAGGGGCATAGGTGGGTTTGTTTGCTTTTTTTTTTTTTTTTTAATTAGGGGAGATTGTGTGTGCAGAAATGCATTAATGATAGCAATTGAGGAGAATCAAAATAGATCAATAGAAAAATCTTGACCCAAATTTGTCTTAGTCTTTTTATACTATTAAATAATAACTGCCACAGTATATAGCTATAAGGCAACCATCTTGAATGAAAAGAAGCACTCTTTTTGTGTGTGTTTCATTGAAAGGTGAGCTTTTTGTCAAAACCTTTAAAAATGAATTGATATCCTAAACCAAGTTTAGCAGATGATTTCTACCTAAGAAGGATGAATATATATATATATATAGTTTCCCTCCACAAAGGATATTAGCTCTAGTATGTTCAGGACTGTTATGACTCAGCAAGATGTGTCTTGTCTTTGTTTCTGAAAAATAATCATCATTCAGTATCATAAAGTCAAAAGGAGCGTAAGATGAGCAGCAACAAGTTGGTGTTTATGTATCATGCTTGTCTGTTAACTCTGATTTTCAAAGTCAAATGATGCAAATCTCTGCCCATGAGAAAATGTGCTCCTGTCTGTGTCAGTGAGTTTGATTCTTGGTAGTGGGATCCTTGTGGATGAGATGGCCCCTGAAGCCACTGTAACAAAAGGAGAACACTTTCAGGAAAGTGTGGTGAGCCAAACCAATTTGCAGAAACCTTACTAAAACGAATACAAGTGTGTAAGGGAAGCAGCTTCTGTGGCATGGATGAGTTATTACTAATAGTACCAGGTCACTGCTCACTGATACCATTTTCCATTTTCCAAAGCGGTTGCTGTGGTAACACTTGCAACTGGAACTGTCACTGATGCCGTGAGGATGATTGTGTGGCCTGTGTCAGGAAAATGCAAGAAAGCAGTCTGAGGTGAATTTTAAGTTGTAATCATCGGGAACTGGTATCTCCAGAAATAGTCAGCCATTTTAGATATGTATGTTCTCACTCTAAAACCAGACAGTAATCGCAGGCATTCAATTAGCAAATACAGTGAAAGACTTTTACTTAGGAGCGTGGCTGACCAAGTTTTACACTGAAGATACTCGTTTTCTATAGAAAAAAAAAAATTAGGCGTTAGAAATTAGGGAGAGTCAAGTGTGCACCATAGAACTAAGCCATTTAGAGTAGTAAAATAAGTTTGAAGCCTTAAATCTTTAATCATTTTTCCATTTTTTTTATATTCAAATGTTATGTTGTGTTATGTTTTAACATATTACATGTGTTTTTATTTGTGTATACCTCCATTTGGATTTAAATTTTTTAAATTTTTTAAACTTATTGAAATCATTTCTATTTTGAGGGTGTGACCGACCATTAATATTAGATCTTTGTGTCAGACAGTGTCAGTAAGCGTTGGGCTTTATAAATCAGACCCACTTAGATTCAAGCCCTTGCTGCTGTCATTTGATAACTGTGTGATCCTGAGCAGATCCCTCTCCGGGAGCTCGAGTTTGCTCTGTAAAGTGAGGATGGTAACGCTTGATGTCTTGTTTGAGCATGAGCACTAAGAGCTCGTGTGTGAGGAGCTCTTAGCTGATTCGTCAGCACACGGCAGCTATTATTCTTGCTCGCTGTGGCTCCTACCATTGTCATCACTGCTGTTTATGAGTTGTCACTATCTCTTGAGTTTTTCTAAAAACAACTTTTAAAAGTTTATCAATACTTGAGTAATGAGGTGGGGAAGAGAGCCCAATTAAAATGTAAGATAGCGGCAACAGCTAATACCGGGCAGGAAATGAGTGTTTGCAGCTCATTAATTATCAGCATGAATGGCAAATTAGGTCAGTGAGTTTTGGGTAAAGGACTTGACATTTTTAGTCATGATGCAAAACCAGTGTTGGTAATTTCACTGAAATGCCAGTTAACAATCACCAAATGCTGAACTCTGCAAGCATTCTTCTTGGAACTTGACTTACTCTCACAGCTAGAAGGGCCTTGAGTAGCTTGGAAGAGTTTCCACTCAGACCGAGCTATTGCTGCAGATGTATGGCAGAGAAGCGTGAGTGCGGAAGGGAGAGGCGCAGGGAAAGAGGCAGGAAACCTGCCTGTCCTGACGGATCCTTCTTTGTGGACCTGATCCTGATCCTGAGGCTGCTTGATGTTGCTTTCCCCTCTGATTGAAATGTTCTCTGGTGACATTTGTCACAAGAGGGTTCCCAGCTCTAACTCCAGTTCTAAGATTCTCCACCAGTGCCTTTTCCCAAATATCAGGGATCCAGGCCCAGCACCCTGGTGGGTCGCCCAGTTTGTGTATGTATGAGCGAAGCGAGTGCCCAGAGACATCACGTCAGATGTAGGACTTGGCTAGACTTCGCCAGGACTGTAGCGTCAGTGTTTCTGGTTGCAAAGGATTTCTTTGAGAAAGGGACATTTTCTGTTACTGTCCTTTCTTTTCCTGAAAAGAAATGTTTTAAGAGACTTAAGTGATCGCTGCAGCTGTGAGACAGATTTAGGCCAAAGATGAATGAAGACAGATAAACTCCGTACAGCACATGGTTATAGACTTCATAAGCCACCGCCACGAGACAGCCCTCCTCCTCCCTGCAGCTAGAGGCGTCACCTTCAAAACTTCCCAGTCCGTTCAGAGCAGCTTCAGAGGTGATCTTTCTCCTGGTTGTTTGCTATTTTTAACTGCTCTGGCGGTACCGTTATAAAGGCTGAGGCCGTAACAACCTGAGGACGTTCTCCTTCCTGCGCTGCATAGCTGACCTTTGGAAAGCCTGGTCTAAGAGTCACTGGGTCCTTTTGACCAGATTGTTCACACGGTGAGAAAGGAGCTGCTGAGACTTCAGAGATTATTTCTGTTTGATGCCGTCCTGAGTCTGAATAAACCCCTTTCAGGGTGCCAAGTTGCTAAATGATTTTCTTCTCAGGAGATCTGGAATGAACTCTGTGTACAAGTCCATCTCTTCAAAGCAGGAGAATAACCGCGGTATTGATTTGAGAAGGTCACTGCAGGGCCCCACATGACTCACTACATGTCCCGCTGCGCCGCCTGGGGAAGCAGCTCAGGCCGCCTGGCGCAGGCTGCGGCCCCTCCTGCTCTTTCTAATTACTCTGCTTGTAATGAAATTGGTGTAGCAAGTGCTGGATATCATTCAGGGCTAAGAGGCATTTGCTTCCAACGCTAACCACCTCTATTTTTAAGGTGAAATCCCTCACTGCATAACCCTGGAAAAGCCCAGCCACACAGGGACATAAATCACAGCCAGGAATCACCTCCACTCGGCATGTCTGGCGATGGAGATGGCCCTAGCGCACCTGTAGGGCCAGTCAGGAGTCCATTTGACTAGGGAAATTAAACATAATCGCAGTGCTGTTTTAAGCTATAAATTATCCCTATTTGCAGCCACCACGGTCAGCAGAAGCCCGAGGGCCTGTTAAGTTTACTGACATGGGCAAGGAAATTCCAGCCAACACAGAAAGAATGTGCTTCCTGTATGCTGGCCCTTATTAAACGATGAAGGGCATTTTGACACGATTTCCTGAGTGGCCGCCACACTCATTTTAAGCCAGCCCGCAGCCCGCGTCTGGTGGCAGCCCCGGAAAGCCCTCAGCACCAGGAGCCGGAGGGGCCTCGCCCCTGGCTTCCGACTCGGCTTATGTGTGCGTGGTGGGACTTTGCCCACGAGCCAGGTAGTCTTAACATTAAGGATTTCATGTTTTGGTTCTACGCAGCTTTTCTTAAAAAGATCTAAAGGTATAAGTAAAAGGATTTAATTTTGCTCCAGAGTTAAGTATGATTCATTTTTATGGCCACTCATGACTCTATGTGGCTTCCTGACCAGGGACTTCCAAGTCCTACATCCAGGTCGGAACTCATTGGCTCACGTGGTTCGATCCTGCAGTAATCACCCCGGCAGGATGGTCTCATTGGAGCGGTGTAACCACACACGTGAAGCAGCAGATCAGTGAAATAATTCTCTCAAGGATCAGTGGGTCGCACAAGCAGGAGCTGTGGGTGACGGTATCCATAAGTGGGGGGGCGACAGAGGGCTATATGCTATGACTGCTCCCTGTGGAGGGGGGGTCTCTGTATTGCGTTCAAAGGGGACGATCGTGTGAATTGCTGCAGTCGAGTGGGCTGATGAGGCATGGTGCCTCTTCTGATATATGTATGTATATATGTAGGAAGACTTATTTATGCATACAGGCCAGAGGTGCAGGGGCGGTGAGAGGATTCACCGGAGACAGAGCGGGGAGCAGAACAGGCAGATGGACAAAGTCCACTGCTGAGGGGAGCAGTGGGCTGGTCAGGAGAGGTCTGCCGCGCCATGTGGGTCAGCTCTGGGGTGGTTTTCGAACTCTCACTGAAGTGGTTGTGGCCAGCATGTAGTGCAGCGTGCTAACCTGTTGCACCACCAGGGAGGGCCTCTTTTGCTGTATTTTAAAAGGGTGTTCATTGATCCGAGGTTGAGTATTTAATCAGTGGTAACAAGGACGCTCATAAGTCACAGGTATCATAGATCTATCTTAAGTAACTGAAAAAAAATTTTTTTTTTTTTACCCACAGTCATTCCTCATAAAATCGGCCGCGTCATAGAAGGAAGTCCAGCTGATCGCTGTGGGAAACTGAAGGTTGGAGATCACATCTCTGCAGTGAACGGGCAGTCTATCGTCGAACTGTCGCATGACAGCATCGTCCAGCTGATCAAGGATGCTGGGGTCACCGTCACGCTCACGGTCGTCGCTGAAGAAGGTGAGGAACCCAGAGACTCACCTTCCTGAGCTGCTGGCACAGAGGGAGGCGGCGGCTTTCTCCCTCAGGACCGTTTATGCACCCTGGAATCTCGTTCTTTGCCTTTGCATTTGATGAGTTAAAATGACACTTTATTATAAATTTGTCGGTCATTTGAGGAAAATAATGCACCTGGTGATAGGAGCCAGTTATTTCAGGTAGCAAGTACCTGGAAATGAGAGAGACCGGTCACACTTTCCACATCTTATTTTCTTAAAATAGTGTCCCATGTCTCTGCTTCAGGGAAACAAAATCCTGTACCCAGTTCAAAGCAAGTTGCTGTGAGCTGGAGCCTTTCGGCACAGGCCATGGGGGCTGTCCTGGAGGCAGAGCTTAGCTCTGGGCAGTGCTTGTGAAGGGGGCAGAGGGTCGGCTGGAGGCCAGCAGACAGGGCCTAAGATGCATTTGGTGTTCTGCCGTGCTGCCTTTTGATCATTAAGAATTTCTAATTAGGAACCGGTTTATGTTCTTTGTTCATGAATTACAAGGCATCATTGCATGATTGCATCTCAGTTTTCCTGATTTTGTGAAACTAACAAGGAGAATCAAAACCAGCAGACGAAGGAAGGGGTCAGTCTTTGACCTGAAAATTTCATGGCCAATATAATGTGTATTCCTAGCTCATCTCTCCCCTTAATCCTCTGATTTATCCCATTTTCAGATCTTTCATTTCTGGATTCTGCCTTTCCGCTCCTGCTACAGTGCTTTGCAAACATCATATAACCACACCTTGGGCACCTGGCTGGTGAGGCATATGACCCAGTAAAGCGAGCCACACCCATTCTTTCCCAGTGCATACAAGCCTACATTGCACCGTCAGCTAAGTCTGCAATAACATGTTGTTCCCTAACACAATGCACGTTTCAGTAGTGCTTTACTGCAGCCAGCCATCGCCTGAGCCTGCAGCGAGCCTTCGTCTTTTTGCTGGGAGGATCTTGTCTCGCTGTTCCTGGCTGCTGGCCAGCGAGGGTGCTGGGGCATTTCTTGATGTAAGATAACAGTGATGTCTGCCACATCAGCTGGCTCTGTAGGACAATGCTATGATTTTACCCACAGTGCCATTTCTTTTACGACTAGAGTTCATCCTATGAAACCTGCTTCGTTGACTGGTCTGCCAGCGAAGTTGATGTAATATTCTAAAGCCTTTAGTGACCCGTCGGCGATGTTCATAGCCTCGTCTTTGTTCCGCCACAGGCAGCAACTCCTCATCTGTTAGTTTCATCGTGAGATTGGAGCGTCTGTGTCACATCTTCCAGCTCCACTTTCGTTCTCATGCTGTTTCTTTCCCCCACTTCTGGGGTAACTTCCTCCATTCCAGGTTGAGTCCCGTGAAGTCATCCATGAAGGTTTTACCTGGAAATTACTAAATCTGAATAATCCAGGTGGACCTCCATAGATCTCTTTACAGCAGCGTTACACTGGAAGCTGTGAAGTTCCACCACCAGGCTAGGGACGCCTGCACGTCAGACGTGACACAGATTCCTGGGGCTGGAGGTACTTCAGTGTTTGCTATTGCTGAGGAGAGGAAGATACTGAGCACGGAGCTCTTACTCGGAATAAGAGCATTATCTCAGATTAGAATGATCATGTTAGAAGAAGATTATTATGTAAAATCAGAGTAAGATTACTATATAAGACTATTATAATTGACAGCAAATGATTCTCTCCTTCTACAAAGACCATGATTTGATTTAAATACTTAACACAGGTGGTGCACACAGAGCTGGTCCGGCCTTCCGGCTGTGACTTTGCAGCAGCCTCCTCTGTCCCTGCCGCTCGCCGCCTCCCCACTTACGGGCAGGCGTGAGTAGTTGCGGCGAAGGCCTGGCCCAGGAAGTCAGAAGTAGTTACCATATGCCCTTGAAAGCTTACTGACCTCTAATAAAGTATCAATAACCCTTTCATTTTTTTTTTTAATGACCTCCCCAGGTTATCTGTTGTTGTATTTATTTCGATGGTTAATTCTCATGTCTGGCGAGGGGGAGCACCTCTCAATGCCACTGTCCTTGTGACAGATGGCCCTGCTTCCTTGAGGTCAGTCTGTCATAAGTGCAAAGACCTTACGAGATGAGCCCAGAATAACTGATTTTTCTGATGCAGCAAATTATTTGGGGCTCATCTTGTACTGTCTTTTTTCTTTTTCTTTCCATGGAGATAAAAAGGGTAAGTAAAATCTGTGCAAAGCCTGTGGTAACTGATATGAGCATTTGTCTTATGTAACTGTCTCCCTATTAAAACAGGCTACGCTGAAGACAAGGAAAATAGTATCAGCTGGCAGTGACACTTAGCAGGCACTCAGGGAAGACAGGTGGTTTCGGGTTTTTTTGTTCTCATTTTCTTTTAATTCATTTTTTCCTTTTGTTTTTTATTAGTGAGTTAACATCATCAATAAAAATATCACTCCTGATATTTCTCCCCCAGGTGGGGTCACTGTAGCTCTCCCACCACCAAGAACCCAGAGCCCTCCTCTGCTGTCCAGTGTGCTCTCCTCCCCCCTCTTACTCCTCCCTCTCACCCGTTGGATGCCTCAGATGTGTGGTCAGTTGTCAAGGGTTAGTTTTAAAGTTTGACCCTTTTTTGATTTCTTTACATTCCACATGCATGTAATACCATTGGTATTTATCTTTCTCCTTCTGGCTCATTTTACTTAGGAAATCCCTTCTAGCTCCATTCACATGGACACAAATGGCACGAGTTTATCTTTTTGATCGCCAAGTAGTATTCCATTGTGTATTTTCCACATCTTTTTAGTCCACTCACATGTTGTGGGGCATTTAGGTTGTTTCTGTACCTCAGCAGTTGTAAATAGTGCTGTAGTAAACATCGGAGTACAGGTTTCCTTTGAAATTGGTATTTTTGTCTTCTTTGGATAGACACGCAGGAGTAGATTCTATGGCAGCTCCATTTTTAGTCTTTTGAGGAACCCCTACCCTACATCACTTCCCTTGGGGGCTGGACCAGTCTACATTCCCACCAGCAGTGTAAAACATTTTTTAAATGAAGGGATGAATCAATGGATGATTGAGCAAATGCTTGAATGAATGAACAAAATCAAGGTCAGGAGATTCTCAGCTGTGCCAGTGCCTAACAGAAGCAACCAAACCCAATAGAAGGCTTTTGACCAATGTCGACTGACAACTACTAGCTAGTTGATTGACCTTGACCGTTTCTGATCTTCAGTTTTTTACCTCTAGAGTGGGAACAATAGTTTGAGAGAGGGCTGACATGACCGTGTACATAATCTGCATAGACACCCTGAGCTGCTTCCCTACTGGTAGCGATCATCATTTTACCACTTCTTGGCACAGCTGACTCCCTTGTTCAAATCTCTCCTTCTCATAAGGACATTTTGAGTGAGTAACATGTGTCAGGAACTGACCTCAACACTAGTTAGGATATTGCTCATTTAATACAAAACACCCACGCAGACACTTGTTTTCCCATCCTGTAGAGGAAGTACTGAGTCACGGGCAGTTCCGCCCCTGGCCCCGGGGAGGTCAGTGGAGCCGAGTCCCGCAGTGTGACCCCTCTTCCCGACGTGATGCCTCCTCTAACCACAGCCTCCAGCCCTCCCCACCAGCTCCTGTCTGCAAAGCCCTGCCCTGCTTGACTTCTCTTCATTGCACTTATGTGTGTCTAGCTAAAGTGTCAGATTACAAGTCTTGAAGTTAGAAATTTTGCCACCATCAGTGCTAAATTCCAAGAGCCCAAAACACTATTAGGTACATAGTAAGTGCTCAACTAAGGTTTTTTTGTTGTTCTATTGTTTCAGTGATGATTGATTTTCGTGCAGATGTCCTTTTCCCAGGTTTACCAAGATCACTGTAGCCTGCTTTTGAACCTTAAATTTATTCTGTGGCCCAATTAAAAAATCAGGCCTCAAAGCCACAGGGAACAGCGTTCAAGGGGATTCTGAGGATGATGGATGTAGTGTACTGACAGACCATGCCTGGCATGCAGCAGTGGTAGAAGTTGCTAGAAAGAGTAGTAGTAGAGATCAGTATTTCTCAAACAATAGAGAAAACCTATGGGTTTTTGCCCCCCAATGTTTTTATTGTTAAAAACAATAAAAAGTAAGAGTAACATAAAGTGAATTAAAGTGTTGTCGAAGTTAAAAAATCTCCCAATGCTCACTCTTCACATCTGTACTTATCCCAGAGCTGAGGGATGGACAGCCAGTCACCTCCAGGCAGATGGCTGTTAGTGTAGTTTTCCCTTTACTGTGGAAGGTGCGTTCTGGAACAGTTCTCGAAGTTGCTCAGGCATTGTTCCCAGAGTAAGTTAGCATGGACATTCAGTCCCACACACTTCTGGTTGCCTAGAGAACACCAGTCAGTGTCCAGGACAAGCAGGAGAGTGGAAGGAGACCCCTAGCAATATACACTTTAAAATTATTTCATCTGCAGGCGCTGCCCCTTGAAGCATCACATTGGGCATGTCAAGTCAAATCTCAGCAACTGCGCATTATGTTTTTATGTTCTTGATTTTTAATAAACCATGGAGACTTTCAAATCTATTCACATTCTCTTGGGTAAAAATAATAGATGTTCTTTCCATTCACAAAAATCCCGTACATGGAGTCTTATATCTTCCAGGTTTCTCGGGAATCAGTATGAAATCCCAATCAAGCAAATATTTTCGCCCTCAGGCTCCTCCAGGAGTCCCCGCTCAGAACAGTAGCAGCTAGCAACCTCACCACCCCCAAGTCATTCGCCGCTAATGGACAACAGAGAAGCAAGTTTCCTCGGCGCTTTCTCCTCTTTTGCTAGATGCCACCCAACGTTTATGTTATTTCACCAAACAAATGGCTTAAGTTCCCAAGCTGAGTGTGGTGCCCAGTGTAGAAACTCAAACAGGGCCCCGATGTGGGTCTGGGCCTGGGGCGTCTTCCCCGCCCCGCTCCCCCGTCCCCAGTCCTGCCTCTCCCCCACGCCCACGCCCACCCTGAGCCTAGTAGCCTA